ATGGCGAATCTCCTGCAACATTTCTCCAGTAGCATTGTGAGCCGCCACAGTAGAAGAGTACTTAGGGAAGTTCTGCGAAAGCTTGATCAAAGCTTCCAAAGGATCAGCACTATCCATAACATATTTCGCAGAATTAACACCCAACCGCGCAACCTCGGAAGAAGACAAAGGCCGCAAATCATCTGGCGCATCCTCCTTCACTTCCAAGTCAGGACCGGTCTCGGTATCAAGCTTCTCCGCAGCGCGGTCATCAATAACTATGTAGTCCGTCCGCTTCAAGGCAAGCTCCACGCCATAGCCTGAAACAAACAACGGCCTGGAAACCCAATGTTGAGGAGGTCGGTAGCGCACTCGGTACGAGATCTGTCCCTGTTTCGCCATACCGCTCAATGTCTCGTGGAAATCCCTAAACATTGGCGCGGAAATATCCGCATACAGGACAGCCGGAGGGAGCGAGATGTCACCCAGGATTCGGTCAAATGGGAGTTCCCTAGGATCCTGCGCATCGAGAACATCCTGCTGGGCGCGTTCCAGCGCAGAAGAGCAGTATTGCTTCCCCTCCAGATGAACCCAGACCGGACACACGGCATCCTGGGCCGCGCCTAGTGATTGCTGGACAGAGGTATTGTAGAACTGGTAGTGAGCCTCGATGCGAGGCGCGGACGAGCGAACAGAAAGCGATAGCTTAAATGAGGATAGACTCTCAGGGGTACGTAGATGTCCACCGTCTTGGACGACGCTCAAGAAACGGTCGTAGAGCTCTTGCTCTGTTGTGAGGTCTTCGAAGGTGCCATCGGCGATGCGATCCAACAATGGGAAATACGAGGTGGAGTTTTCTTCTGCCGCGGCTTCCCTGTAACCGACTTGGGCATTAGCATTGCTCGTCTTGACTGCTTTCTCGGCTGTGAAGGTAATCTATTGTGCAACATACAAGAGCTCGACTAGGTATGGGGCCGAGTCGAAGGAGGCTTGGAGCGCCACGTTGACGGCTGGACTGGCATTGGCATTGGCAATGCAGCCTGGAAGGAAGGCTCCGATGGCGGCGTACCACCGCCAGGAGATGCGAGATCCCAACTTCATTGTTGTAGAGGTGTGGTTTGTATAGATGGTTGTTTATAGGGGGTTGCCCCGAGTCGGGGATGGGTTTGTGTAGGCGATATTCCCGAGTCTAGATGTCCATGTGAGTTGTATCATGCATAACGGGCCCAATGAGCCCCAGCTCGAGTCAAGAAGGTGTCGAGAAGAGGTTAGAGATTCGGCTGATCTGGACACTTGGGGCGTTTCGTTATCGCTTATCGGGGTTGTACGGCGGACGGAGCGGCAACTGCTGCACTTTCCGAGGTTCTACTATTGACTGGTCACTACGTGGGCAGGCAGGTCTTTGATATCATAAAAAATTGAATTGAAATTTTTATTCCCAGTATGCTAAGCATGCTGGGCGCTTTCGTAAGGACATTAGTCGTAAGGTCAACACCACCAGATGCTCCACCAGAAACGCCGCCTGTTTTTAATCAAACAAGATAATCAGACTATATGCAGCACCAGCTGGCTCTGTACAACAGAGACGGTATAAAATGATGATGCGCAGGGGGGCGGCTGCAGCAATGATAAAAATGCGAACAAGGAAAGAGGAAAATTAGGGGTAGTGTAGCATGGGCGCTTTTAGATAGCCACGGCAATGGCATCAGGATGGATCTCGGCTGAGGCAGATTCGATTTGCTTGCGAGCTCTGGCCTCATCAATCAGGCGTTGGCGCTTCTCTTCGGTCATGTCGAAAAGCAATTTTGTGTTGAAGTTGGCCGAGATGTGCTGGCTGGAGGAGCTCTCGGGGCGGCCGGAGATATCCTTGTAGGACTTCATTTTCTTGAGGCACCGGGACAGCTCCTTCTTCTGCTCCTTCTTAGGGTCCTTCTTGGCCCACGATGTCATTGAACTGGCGAATCGCTCCAAGATAGAGCCGTGTTTGCTCGAGACAGGGGGTGCGGGGAAGTTGGGAAGAGGCTTCTCGCTATTCTGGTTATCCTGGGAGTAGGAGGTGGTAGGACGAGAGACGGGGCGGGAGGCGAAGCTGATGCCCGAATCGGTGCGGCGCGAACCGTTCTTGGTGACTTCAGATCGGTCGTTGATCAGAGCGCACTCGTCAATCACCTCGACGACCGCGTTCAGATATCGGTCCATGGCATCGTACACCGCAGGCCAGGCGTTGTCATCACCAGGCCGGGTACCTTGCTTCATAACAGGGTCCAAGATGCTGGGGTTGTCCTCAAACTTGATAATGAAAGTGAAAAACGCATCGCGGTGGTTTTCGAGTGTTTTTGGTGCCAATTGCTGGGTTGGAGTCAGGCTTTGGGGGTGAACAGGCGGCAGCAGTGTGTTGAGCAGAGCCAGACAGTTGGCTTTATTGAACGGCTCAAGCATCATCTCATTGATCAAGATCTGGTAGGACGGTTAGCAAGGGAAAATTAATCGGTTTATGGTGACATTTACCCAGCGACGGAGACCGACATAGACTTGAGTGTACAAGAAATCGATCATGCGGGCCTTTCCGTTGATCTCCTGGTACCAAGACATCACACCAGGGTACTGACGAGCAAGCTCGGAGTTCTTTGGGTCCCGAGCATCGTCGACAGTCACATTCAGACGACGGAAAGCGGCATCAATTTCTTTCTTCCAACGGTCCTGAAGGTCTTTCAGGTAATCAAGAGCAGTCAAAGCCTGGGCGAAGTCGACTTCGGCCAGGTCCAAACAGAAGCAACGGCGCACAAACGAAGTAGTGAAGCTCGGAGGCAGCGAGCAGGGCTGAGAAGGCAGTTGGGAAACAGTACGGGTCAAGAATGCACGGAACTGGGCATTGGCATCCGCTTCAAAAGAAGGAGTGTCGGAGCTGCGGTGGGTAGACTTGGATGCCTTGGACCACACCGAGTTGCGAGACAAAACGGAAGGAGTAGAGGCTGTCATGGTGCTTTTCGTCGGATGGCAGTTTAGTTCGTATGCAGCGCGAAGAGAAATTTCGTATTGATCGGCGTAACGCAAGCAATGATCAAAGATCCAGGTTAACGATGACCCATCGGGTGCATCGAGTGGTTCATAGTTGGGGTCGGGAGACATGCTATGCAGCTTGGCAATGGTCTGACGAGACAGGTGTCGAGACGAAAGAGACAGCGATGATGTGCAGAGATGAGAGAAAGATGGAAAGTTCAGATGGCACTGAGCCGTAGTTATGGTCGAAGGAATCGCGACGGCTGGGATAGCTCAAAAACCAGCCAAGGGAGGGGAAGACCTGATACACCCAGATAGGAAAAGCAGGCAGACGCGAGCGGACGATTGGTCGAGTCTCGATATGTCTGAGACACTCAAGTCCGAAATGAAAAAGCTTTCGCGGCTGGCGGATGTTCTTTGTCTGATATATCCCTTGGGGAAGGTTGACCAATCACGTTGCAGATTTGATAGATTTCCTGCACGCCAGATCTGATATGTATACAAAGTGAAGAGGGGGCTTCGGGAGCTAGCTTCCGAGGGAAAGTTAAGACACGTCGAGTGAGCGAAGGGATGGAAAAGAGTGTGAAGTAACGAGGAACAAGGAATCGCGAGAATAGAAGTAGAAGTTGAAGTGGAAGTGGAAGTGGAGGGAGGGGAAATGGCCGGTACAAAAAGGCGCGAGTGTTTGCCCGAAAGACATTTTAATTAAGGGCTCCGAGTCCAGGCCCGGGGGGCTCCACTAGCGTAACATCATCATAGGTCCCTGGGCTATGGGTATGCTTTAGACAGCCGTTGCTTTCCCGCCGCCCCGGTATACACTTTACCTATTCAGGTAGGTTCTAAGCCCAAATTCAATCCAGCCTCTTATGATTGGGCTTGTTACCTTGCACAAGTTGTGTGCCTTGCATGCGGCATTCGACTTGTCCGGGAACTGGGGATAGGCAGCCGTTAAGCCGATGAAATTTTCGGCTCTGTCAATTGTACTTTGTGCGATGGGACTGGTCAATTTAGATATTCGCCCCCCTTCAGCTTGCGTCGTACGATTTATTTTTAAGGTGGCCACATACTTTATTCGCCCCCCTCCCCCGATGAAAAAAAAAAGTTAATGTCCGGCGCAAAACAAAGGATCTTCAATTTCGATAACCTTTGGTAATAATTTACCCATTAACTTATTCTTAGATCGTTCGCTTGGATCTGGTGTGGGGCTCACACGCAATCCCCGATGAAACCGCCTCTACCACGATGCCGGGACCGCACAAAATTGCTCATTAGATCAGTACAAAAATGGTATTCCGTACGCACACACCCGTATTCTATACCTATAGACTGCATTCCCGTCTGTAGACTCGAAGATATCAACGTGATATCAATAAACAGCCGGAATCGGAATGCAGTTCCATGGTACAGTCAGCGTGTCACTCTCGAGGACCATGGTTGGTCCCTATGTGCCCCGTGTCTCCGCCTCAAGCCATTTCGTCCTTTTGTTTCTTTGGTTTCATTTACTTCGATACGTCAACTTTGCAAAGTGACACCTCCCTTGTTTGGCCTTTGACTTCAGACCTCAAAAATCAGCAACATCAAACAATGCACACATCCGGTGTTTCCATGAGATCTCAAAAACAAGAATGTTCGACTGGACCGGACCTTCCCAAGTGAGTCTAGTGCATATCACATGACCGTCTTTCAGGTCACGGCACCCTGCCGATCTCTTGAGTCTAGACATGAAGATCGTCAACATGTATATTTGCTTCTGATACGTCTACCTGCCTCGGGGGGAAAAGTACGCCCCATCAGACTTTGACGAGGCGATCATTTCGTCATTCGCTGACGGACGGGAATCTCATCGGTCTTCCAGCTACCGGATACTCGGGTGAACGCCGGGCCAAGCGTTGCAGACACTGGACCTCTTATCTCCCTATCGGAGATGAATGCTGGAGTTTCTTTGGATCAGGGGGGTTTTTTATTCTGATGCTCTATACGGAAAACTGCACTGTCTGCTCATTTGACAAAGGACTTCCTCCCTACACGTCATCCGCCTCCTCAACGGAATACACCTCCAATTCGGCGATCATCGTGCGCGCGGGAATAGTAACACAAATCGGGAAACCACCGTAATCAGGTTCCTCATTCGGCATCATAGCAAAGATCCCACTCCTAGTCTCATCGCCATTCAGAACGCGCAGAGTCCGCAACTCCCCAGTCTTCTGGTTAGCAACGATCTTCTCCTCGAACCGCAAAAAGCCGGTGAAGCTGCTCGTGGGACTCAAAGAGCGTGCACGGACTTGGAAGCCCCATCCGATCAAAAGGAATTTTCCTCCACCGAGGTGGACGACCATACCTGCGCCCGGTCCGGCCTTGCCAAAGACAAAGCAGCGCTCGATGGTGATTTCATATCCGGCCCAGTGCTTGATGACCGGACTAGAAGAATCCGAGCCGTCAGCTGCCAGCTCGTCGAAGAAGAATCCAACCGAGGAGTTCGGCCGCGTCTGAGCTTCCAACACGATCTGGGAAACTGATTCTAGGAGTCCGTAGTGCTTTGTGAATGGGTTCGTGTTGGGTTCCAGTGTGTCGATTCCGAAGGGGGAGACTCCAATTGCTTGGAAGGATCCGTATGCGACCCAAATACGTCTGACGCCGTATTCATCGCGACGCTGCTCGGGTATGAAGAGTGGCTGGTTCCGGTGTCGGTATTTGCGGCACGAGGTTGCGTAGTCGTTTAGATAGACGTCTGGTGCAACAAAGTCCAGCGATGGCGCGAACTGCTGCCAGATATCAAGGACGTTGCTGGTGCCGCCGCCAGACGGGTAATCACCCGGATGGCCGCCACCACCAACGACGACTGGGAAATCATTGTCGCCATCTTCGCCGACATAGTTCTGCCAGACGTTCGTATAGAACGGAATAGGGTACTCTTTCTTGCCAGCCGCAGCAACCTGGTTGATGTATTTGGCGTAGTGGTATGCCATGAAGAGCTCATCTGTATGTGGGCTCTTGCCAAAGACCTGTTCCCATGTTCCACGGGGACTAGCCTGAGTCTTGAAATGTTCCAAGTTGCCTTTGAGGTCAACATGGAGCGCTTCCCAATCCTGCGCTAGGAATTGCACTAGATCCTCTGGGACAGGCTCGAGGAACCGCTTCTCGGCTGCCACAGAGCCGTCACGGGAATCACCTAGCAAGCCAGTCTCGTTCTCGACTTGGACCATCACCACAGTTGAATGAGCCCCGTCGACTTCTTTGAGATGTGCCAGCAAGCGCGAGAACGCTTTGGTATCCGCTTTGCATCCTTCCCCATGGAAGATGGACAGCACGTCACCAGTCTGTAGTACACCCCCGGCCTTGCGTAGCTTCGCTCGAGGGAACCGCTTGGTGTTTGTTTTCACCCATGGAGGAACGTATGTAGAGATACCTAGACGGTCTTAGAGAAGTCGACATTTCATAATGAAAGGGAACATACCATTTTTGAAAGAACCAAACCACAATAACACAAGATGCAGTCCATGCTTCCTAGCACCGAGGATGACCTTGTCCAATTCAGTAAAGTTGAACTCATCCTCGACTGGCTCGATATCCTCCCAAGTCACACATCCCAGCACAGTATTGATATGAGTATCAGCAAGCTTCTGCCAAACAGTATCCATATACTCCGCGGAAGTCAACGAGGAATTCTGCAGCTCACCAGCAAGCGACAGGAAAGGCCGGCCATTGACAATAAGTTGCTGACCAGTTTCCGTCTTGCGGAGGTGTGGGATGTCAGAGGTAGGAACGAGCATTGTGTCGTGCACTGATACGGCTTGAGCTCCAAATGTATCAAGAAACGAAAAGAGAAAATGGACTCTGCTAGAGAATGAAACGACCCCATTTCCTAGCTACACACTACACTCTTATACCTGTTCTCTCTCTCTCGTCTTACCCCTCATCGGACCCTCCACGTGCGAGTTCAATTGACAAGCATGCTGTAAGAGGCCGGTGAGAGTCCACCAATATCCCGGATATGATCACACCACATCAACCATACGGCTTTGAAATTAACCGATTGGACTGATATCCCGCAACATTGCATTGATCTACCCCCAGACACCCCCCGCACTTCCGACCTCCGATCGTGATCATCGTGAGCAGAAGCTGCGGGAATGACGGCTGTCTATTGGCTGATATCCCGCATTTTTAAGCGTGGCGCTTCTCCGCAAAAACGCTTCTCCCGTTTTGGTAGAAACCCGGGGTGAAGATATGGACTACGTTTGTTTCTGATTGAAGGAGTTGGAAGTTACCTTGTTGTTTGGATATGTATATAAAGAGCCTTTGATGACCCGAGGATGTTCGTGGAAGTATAAGTCATATTCACGTTATTGTACTGCAATATGAGCACGACAGAGAAGCATTTGGAGACTGGTGAGGCTACTGCAGCTCACTCTGAGTTTGTTGGATATGGCTCTATGGAGGCTCCTCGCGTTACTTGGTGGAAGCACCGTGGTTTGCGCAAGTTATATCCTATGATGCCTATTCTCTTTCTTGGTTCGACCATTAATGGGTACGATGGGTCACTCTTGAATGGGCTCCAGACGATGACTCCGTGGCAGGAATGTGAGTACTGACGGGAGGTATGCTTTGGTGATGGGATACTGATATGCGGATAGATTTTAACAACCCGAGTGGTTCCACGCTGGGGCTTTTCACTGCTATTCAGAACATTGGTGGCGTCTGTTCCTTGTTCTTTTGTATGTGTTCCTCTCGCTCTACTTCAGGATCTTTCTGACTGGATCTTCATTTGATAGCCTCCTATATTGCTGATTTGCTTGGAAGAAGGGCTGGAGTAACCATTGGATTGATCATTCTGTTCGTCGGGACAATTATCCAAGTGGTTCCCTCGGTCAACTCCAACATGTTCCTAGCTGGACGGTTCCTCGTGGGTCTTGGGTATGTGACGCTTGATATCCAGTTGCAACACTCTACTAACTATCCCCAAAGATCCAATGTGAGCCAGGGATCCGCTCCTCTGCTCATCACAGAGCTTGCCTATCCTCAACACCGTGGAAAGTTGACGACAATGTACAACACGCTGTGGTATCTAGGCTCCATTGTGGCAGCATGGACCGTCTTCGGGACAATCAAATATACCTCCGAAGCAGCATGGAGAATCCCAGTCGGTATGCAGGCAGCAATGCCTCTCATACAAATCACAGGCATATGGTTCCTCCCAGAAAGTCCTCGCTGGCTGTGCGCAAAAGATCGCCCAGATGAAGCCTTCGACATCCTTGTCAAGTACCACGGAAGTGGCGACAGAGATGATCCATTCTGTTCATTCGAGTTCCACGAAATCCAACAGACCATCCTCATGGAAAAGAGGAACTCCAAGGATGGATGGCAAGTCCTGGTTCAGACTCCAGGAAATCGAAAGCGACTGTTACTCATTGCACTAGTTTCATTCTTTTCGCAATGCTCAGGTAACGGGTTGGTATCATATTATCTTCACGATATCCTTTCATCTGTTGGGATCGAGTCATCTTATGATCAGTCTATGATCAATGGCGCCTTGCAGATCTGGTCTTTGCTGGTTGCTGTTGGATTTTCTGCTTTCCTCGTTGACATCCTTGGTCGACGGACATTGTTCATGATTGCCGGTGTTGGTATGTTGATCAGCTTTGCTGTTTGGACCGGGTAAGTCGATATTCGAGTTGCGTGTGATGGTATAAGAACTGACGATGTGTCTTGATGCAGGTGCTCTGCAGTATATGCTCAGACTGGTAATACCAACGCTGGCTCTGCTGTCATTGCCATGATATTCCTCTTCTATGGCGTGGCAGGATTTGCTTGGCCAGGTCTAACGGTGGCGTATCCAGCTGAAATCCTGCCGTTCAATATCCGAGCCAAGGGCATTGCTGTTGGAATGGCTCTAACAGCTCTGTCATCCGTATTCAACCAGTATGTCAACCCGGTCGGTCTGGAAGCTCTGCAATGGCGATTCTATTTCGTCTATATAGCGATTCTGGTTGTCGAATGTCTTTGTATTTGGTTCCTTTTCGTGGAAACAAAGGGACCGACACTCGAAGAGATTGCAGCATTGTTCGATGGCGAAGATGCAAACGTGGCCAGCAATGAGCTTCGGCAAGAGACCAAAGCTGTGGATGGTGCTGGGATAAACAAGACCTAGTGCTTCCCCGGTGATTCACTCTAGTGGACGAAGCATTGACAAGGCATCATTGGCAAACCTTCCACGCTCGGCAAGGTCGGATCCAGTGGGTGTTCCCACTTCACCCTCGATAGGCAATGCATGATGAAGTAAAAATTTGACAATCCATCTGTCGACAGTGTAAACATCGTCCATGGACTGCATACACACTTTTTGGAATGTGAATAAACGTTCCATCTGTTTTAACATCAGTAGTTGACTTGGCATGAGTAATTCGCCAAATTCAGTTGGTAGATCTCACCATCAAATCCACACCTGGCCAAAACTGCTTCAGCTTCAACAGTATCTCAAAATTCAAGTATAGTCGTTTTCTTGTATCAAGTAACTCATCCTGGCTCCCAAATAACAACGTGTGTAGCAGCGCAGAAGAAGAAACAACTGTCATATGGGCCACAATGAGATAAAAAGCTTCGCAATCTTCGGTCTCGTGGGACAACTTCAACAGATCACTGAAAGAGGCAGCATGATACTTGCAGCGAGCAACAAATATAGTGCGACTGGGGGTCCTCTGAAGCTGTGTATCAAAATATTGGAAATAGAGCAACGTAGCATAGTGGTGATAACCAAGATGAAGCGCGACAAATGCCCGCCCAAGGCCTGCCGTTGCATGCTGTTTCAGGTTGTCAACGGTAAAATGTAAATTCGACGGAAGATCTTGAAGATATTTGTCAAACTCATGCGCTAGCCTTTCGGTGATTGCTTCGGCTTGGTGCTCATCTAGAGCTCCATCAGCGAGTCTCACATGGAGATCCTGAATATGGCTGAAAATTCGGGCGAGGATCACCATGTATCCCCAGAGACCAACCCCGAGTTGGGCATCATTCTCTAGATTATCTCCTGTTTCAAGGGACCAGAAACTGGTTTCAGGCATGGGAAGACGATTTTGGCCTTTGTCGTACATTTGTCGGGGTAGGTTTAGTCCCGCTGAGGACCATGTGTCTATCATGTACAATGACCACCAGGTTCGCACCTTGATCTCCTGTGTAATACTGTCATCTGTAGCATCGGGCTCTGGCAAGTGAAGAACATGTGCCATTCTAAAGGCGACTCCTGTTCACTGTTAAATCATCGCAGTTGCTAATGTTGATATTTCTTACCGAAGAACAGTGCTTCGCCTACGGTCTCTCCTTCAGCTCCGCAAAGATTTCCTACCAGGATGCTTGCATGGATAGTATCGAGGCAGACGTTATCAATATCCATTTTCAGGGAGACTTTGGCGGCTGAGAAGAACTCCTTGGTCTTTTGTCGCACTTCTGGATCGTCGGAGAAACTAAAAAGAAGTATCAGGCCATGTTAAATCGAGAAGGGAATGGTCAATTATCTACCGGGCTGACAATGCCATAATACCATATAGTACCGCTCGAGGTAGCGTGCCATCTCGAACTCGTCTTCTCAGGACGCTTGGGCTGAATAGAGTATGCGGTTTATCATGGATGAGGTTCAAGTACAGATCTGTCAATGTCTCTGCCAATTCCTTCCGTGGAGTCGGGGTAATAAAATGACTCAATTCTGTGTCATTTGCTCTGCTGGTAGTTGAAAGATTTGGGAGGAGCTGTGTTTGTCGTCGAGGTGAGTCCGTGAAAGAACAGGACTTGTTCTGTCTCAAGCACTGTTGGCAAGGTAGATCTACCCGCTCCACGATGCATTTTCGTTTTCCAGCCCTACACCGCGTGCAGGAAGTAGATATCTTCATGATTTCAATCTTTTGGTTCTCTGGAATAGAAACTTTTGAGTAGACGAGGTAATCTCGGTACGAAACCGAGGGGTGGTATCACGTGAGGCTCATAGTTTGATATTGGATCAGTTGAGTCATTTAGTGGCAAGGAAGAGTCATGCGACGCAAGAAGCATATTGACCAGTTACTTCCGGCTAAATACATCTAGAGTGAGTATACCAACACGGGATAGCCACAACATGGCCGCAAAATAGACCGACTCCTCAAATATCCAATCGAGACTCGCTTAATATGGCGCATAAATGTATCTGAAGAACGCAGTCAGTCATTCTCGATCAGAAAGAGAAAATCAATAGTATTAGTTCATCCACACGAGTGCTCTCCGGAGTGGTGTAGTCCCACCTAGGGGGAGGAGGTCATATCAGTCTCCGCCCGGCAGAAAAACAGACGATAAGCTGCAATAACTTAAATCTGACTCGGAAACATTCCATTGTTGAACATTCTAGCCATGGGAAAAGGACCATTGGAGCAGAAGCTCCAGTTCGAAAAGAAGAACCAAGACCTCGTTAAACTTCCCAAATGTAAGTCTGCCGCCTGCGGGACGTACCGGTACAGCTCAAATCCAAGATCCCCATGACTGACTGGCTGCACTACACAGATGCAAAGGTCGAAAAGCGCCCAATACCCCATGCACCAGTCGCCTCTCCCTACGCCGGGGCCTCTGTCCCCAAGATCGTCTACGTCTCGAGTAGCACACCATTCATGAGCGCAGTTAAGCGCATCCAGAAACTACTTCTCCAAGCCGAGAAGCGCGCCACGGCAAACATCAACCTAGAAGACACGCGCAAAAACGAGAAACAAAAGCTCGCAGAGCTAGCCAATATCTCCTCGAAGCGGGAGGAGGTCTTCGTCAAAGCGACGGGACGGGCCATTGAGAAAGCGCTCAATGTGGGCAAATGGTTTGAGGAGAAAGAGACTGAGTACTCGGTCCGTGTGAAGACTGGCAGTGTCATTGTTGTTGATGATGTTGTTGAGGATGAAGAGAAGAAGGAACAAGAGGAGCAAAAGCGTCAACGGCAGGAGGGGCAACAGAGTAACCCTCCTTCTTCGGAGTCTAAGTTGGCTGCGAAGAAGAGGAAGCGTCAGGCTGCTGCCGCTGTGAACCCTGATGCTGAGCTTCCTGAGAGCCGTACGCGATGGGTCAAAATGGTTGAGGTTGCTGTTAGCCTTAAGTGATTTTACAGACGGACAATGGCTTCGACGGAAGATACGAGAGCCATTTTAATCACGACTCACAAACACGAATCAACCCGCCAAAATCCAGTGGCTAGGACTGATCGCTGTGACAATCCTGTGGCCAAGCCCAGGATGTTCCGGCAAACGCCCAGCAAGTTGCACAGGCGCCTCTTGTCTATTGGACAAACCCGCTTGATTCAACAGTGGTTGTCCATCACCTGGTTACCCAGCCGAGGATTCATATGAATCTCATCTAAGACCCTGAGTGATACACTGGCTAAATTTGAGAGCTTTCAGCGACCCGCATCTCGCCAATCCCAGTGCAGCTACTCTACAATCGCAACAAATCATTAGCTGGGCAGGTACAATCCAGAAAGGAACACTTCGTTCGTCCAAGGCGGACAAAATCATGTACATCGAAAATATTCCCAACTTATAAACAACACCAGAGTACATAACCAAAGTAAAAATTCAACTCAACCCGCCGTAGATGCCCCAACCGACTGGCATGGAAAGAAAGAGATGGACACCAACTCGAGGCTAACAGTTCTACTGTAATCCAAAGGAGTTTAGAAGAAAAGCGTAAATCATCACATCTGCCAGCGGGAACCAGATAGGCATGAATAAGAAAGGAAATAGTACTAATGAAAAAAAGAACTCCATAATACGCTCAGAAAGCCCTGCGCTGACATGACACGATGAATGATAATGCCTGAAAACCCTTCATTAAAAGAAATGTTTCAAAGAGAGGCTGCAAGTCATGAACGTATCCTTATTTCCCCCATCATGTACAGACAAAAGAGAAAGCAATGCCGAGTCCCAGAGGGTGAGAGGCTAATAGTAACAAGTCGGAGGTAGAGAAACAAACACGAAAAGGAGAGGACCGGAAAGAGGGGGTGGGACACTGGAGAGGTCGATAGAGAAATTCATCGAAGAAAGTCATCAAGAAAATTCGTGGCAAGACAAGAGAGATTGTGGGCTGAAATGGACAAGGCTCCAAATATGAAGACAGGAAAAGATGAAAAAGGTGATCTTCATCCCAGAAAAAAAAAAGACCAGGGAAACCATCGCCAGAGAGTCATGACTGGCAGAAGTTGAGATCTGATGGAACGAAGATAGGAGTGAAGGCCAAGTTATGCAACGTACTTATGCAATAGAACCGCTTAGAAAAAACACCGGAACCCAGAAGGAAACAAGGCGAAGCTGGTTTATTTGTCCATCTTTTGCCAACCATTGAGATAGGCCATTAAACCTACCCCTAATAGTACCACGCCAAAGATTGAAGCATAGGGACTTGCTTCTTCCAGAACATTGTTCCGATGGTGTGTTGCAAAAGCAGTGGCTGCAGCATCCAGCTCTTTATTCTGCTGGGTAACCGAATCGAAGTGCTTCATTGGGCTCTTGGGCTTGGACTGCGTTGCATCCTCACTCAAAGTAGACTGTCCCGACTGGACGTTGCTCGGTTCATGAATTGTATCGGGCTTGTTCGCAGCGGCCAACGCAGAAGCCTTCGCGCGTTCCTGACGCAACGTTTCAACCATTTCTGCCAATGATGTGCGAGATTGTGTGGTCTCGTCTTCAGCCTTCTCTGCACGGTCTTTGAAAGATGCGACTTGTTTTCTCATCTCTTCCATCTCTTCCATCATGGTATCCAAGCGGCTTTGAAGCTTGTTGGCATTGGCTTCTGCGGAGGCGAGAGCCTCGCTGTCTTCAGAAGCAGTCGCCAGAGGATGAATGCCATTGACCTGCACGGTTTCTTCCGAATCATCCTGCTGCTTCTCATCGATGTCCTCTGAATGTGGAACAATGCCATTTTCGACAGGGGCCTCTCCATTAACCGATGTAGAGCGCATCTCCAATTGATCGGCTCTTTCTTCTGCCAATTTGCGAGCAGCCTGCTCCTGAAGTAAAAGAGTTTCCAGTTCCTTAACACGCGTGCCTTGAGCATCAATCTCTCGCTTGGCAGAAGATAGAGCCTCAATAAGGGACAATATCTGGCTGGAATCGCGTGAGACGGGAGAACCCGCGCCCCCTTTTGGCTTCTCCGTATCGCTGCGCTTCAAAGGAGAGAACGATTCCGAGGCGCTGCGCGGCGGCGCGTCAGGTTTTTCTGGCAAGGGCTGTTGAGGTGGAGGGGCAGGAGGATCAGAGAACCTTGAGAAAGAGTCGACCCGCGGCATTTTTGGTCGGCCGTTCATCTGTCGGTGAGCACTGCTCTCCAGAGGGGATGGCTTGGCCATCTTCTCTTTCTCTGCGTAGCCTGGTTTCATAATGGTCGTCAAGAATTCATCGGTCTGGCTAAGATCGGCTGACTGTTGTTTTGCTGATTTCAATTCGCCCTAGAATGTGTCAGAAAGGTACTTGTGCGTGGAGTCATTAGCCATACCGTGAGCCGCTTGACAACCTGTTCAATAGATATTGGCGAATTCCAGTAGTTCATCTGCCGTTGTTGGTGCATAGCATTGAGCTGAGTACTGGCGGCACTTTGGTTGCTGCGGTTGCTGGCATTGCTACCAGATCGGTTGCGTAGATGCGAAAGAGGTTGGCTCAAAGGGGAAGGAAGAAGTCCGCCTCCAGAGGCAGGATCTAAGTCCCCAAAGTTCAGATCAAGTATGTTAGGTGTACTGCCATACAGACCAGCATGCTCAACCTTGGCTGAGACTTTGTGGTGGACGATAGTGTTCTGATCCTCGCTGACAATGTCAATACCAAGTTCCAGGGTATCATTTTCGCGTATTTCGTGTGGATCCGACTCGCGGTTCTCAGGAGATAATCGGTGACCGTTCACAAATGTACCGTTAGATGATTTGATATCCCGGATCCAAATCTTGCCATTCTTTTCGGCCCATATCTCAGCATGCTGTCGAGAAAGAACCTTGGAGTCGAAGTACCCATTGAGAGCTGTGGGGACCGTTTTGGCGTTGGTCTGTCGGCCAATTCGCAAAACGTCGGGGTAAATTGGCACATGGATTTGTTTCTTTTCAAAGGTGCCATTCATTGGCACGAGAGCCAAGATCACCGGCATGTCAGCGGACTGTCTGGGTGGCCCACGGGGAGCATTCTGCTGGTCAGGAGAGGGATAAAGCAGATTCGCCGTCTGCGACGGGACGATGGACGGAGGCTGATGCATGGCGGCCATTGTCGAAGATGCAGTTGGGCCCGATGAAAATGCAGGCACTGCCTGAGATCGTGCGTTCGATACCCCTGATACCGGTTCAGACTTCGAGCTGGGCCAAGGGTTCCGCGCCGGCTTCTTTTTTGATGACCAAGTTCCTGATTCACCTTCGGAACTCTGCGCAGTATGCGTATCTTGAGAAGCGGACACGGTCGACGTGGTAGAGGACGATCCGATAGAGGAAGAGGAGTTTGATCGTTGGACGTGCTTCCGTGGCATAAACATCCGTGACACGTCGTCCGCGTTGACTGAAGACAATGCTCCTTGTCCCCCGTTACCAGAGCTGTACCATCCCAAGCGAGACCCCGATTCTACACTAGGAGGAGATGCCACAGCAGTCATGGAGAAGGATGCTCGCAAGTGAGTAGAAGCAACGGAAGGTGTCTAGATCGGCGCGTCCACGGTCGCGCAGAGGAGGCAGTTGTTCTCGAGGCGGTCTAGGAGGCTGAAAAGAAGACGTATTGGAAGGTCGGGTTATGTCCGAGGTGTTGGGGAAATTGAATGCGCGCAAGGGTGATTCAATCTCAGCTGCCCGGCTAAAAGCAGGACGGTCGCGTTAGTGTCGTCTGAGTAAGGTAAAATAGATTGGCCCCCTAAAGTCGAGGTCGAGGCCTCAACTCAACTCCACATGCAGCCTCACATCCGGTGGCAGTATACTCACTATTGAAAGGTGATCTGAAACGTAGTAGGGTGTGGTATTGGCCGGACCAAGGAGGGAGGTGCGTAAACGACTTCACACGTCCCAAAAGGTGACGGAAGCACAAGACGGCACTACCGCCTCAGCGCAGGCTTCAGGCCCTGGTAAATTAACGAGAAAAGATGTCAGAGATCGTGGAGAGTTGCCATCGAGGATCTCGGCAAGTGCGAGTTGCTCACTTGGTCTACTCCCTTGACGCCCCCGGGTCACGTGATGTATAGGCACGTGTGCGCCCGTTGTCCGTCACGTGATGATGTGGAGAATGAAGCTGTGGAGGAAAACGAAGCTCGTTCTCCGACTATTCAACCTCGGGATTTCTCGTTCAGCTCTGAGCTGCTGCCTTTTTTGACCTTGCAACTCTATTTAGCAATTCCAATAATGCCTGTTGTTGCTGGTCCTCCCGCCCAGGCCGGCCCAGGGGGTGCGCCGTCGACTTTCGACAAGAGTATGTCATCTACAACCCACTCGCTATACATTGCAATGCGCTGGAAGTGTTCCTTCTTGCATTGGCCAACTCAACTATTGGGAACATATAGGCTGACAACACTCTAGTGAAAATGGGTTGCATGATGGGTTCCAGTATGTGGTCGCATCACCTCGTCTCGAGCTCTAACTAATATAGTACTCTAGCCGTCGGTGGTATCATGGGCTTTATTATTGGTTTGTCATGCCACTCCTCTACCTCGACCATAATGCTGACTAGCTATAGGAACCGTGACAATCTTCCAGTACGGCGCTGGCCCCAATGGTGTCATGCGGACACTGGGCAAGTATATGCTGGGCTCGGGTGCGACTTTTGGGTATGCTTCCTTCACCTTCAGGGCTGGTTTGAATGGCTTGAGAACCACAGGCTAACCGAAGCTTTCCCATACAGACTCTTCATGTCTATTGGTAGTGTCATCCGCTCCGAGGGACCTGTGAACGATGCCTGGCTTCGTGCCCGCGGACCCCCGATGATGCTCCCCCGACAGAGCCCCCTGCGCCAATAAATACAACATTTCTCGCGGTCTTAGAACAACACCCGGGAAATATGCGATATGACCACTCCTCTGGCGACGTCCCTTGTACGATATAATCTCTGGTTGAGAGACTTTTTTTCGGGCGGTTTCAGGAGACAGGGAACCACAACGGTTGTTGCCACCTTCAGGTTCCAGGGATACTTGCTACTTCAGCACGCAATGTATATAACTAGCGGTACCCAGGACATGCTGGCGTTCAACAATTCCTTAAATGCGCCAATCATTGTAAGCGATAATGTGAGAATGCATCCTTTACTGCGATTCGATTCAGTTCCACATATGCAAAGAGGGCTCATTGCTTGTAGTTCTTTTTACGGGGCGATGCATGCAGTTTCAGGGGGAACCGGCATACGAGGCCCGAGGCTGCAAGTCCCGGTCCCTGCGACCAGTGATCGATCAATCTCCGGAATGATTTCAATAGATGCGAGCCGGTGCCTTCTTGGCATCACGATGTGGAAGTTGCTTGCGTGGCCATTACAACCATTAGGAAGGCTGGCTTTCTAATACAAGGCAGCCTTCCGAATGGTATGTTGAGTTGGCAAAGGTCCATTTTGTTTCAGGCCTGGCTCGATCAGAGTCGGGGCCCCTCAATGTAAACCTGAGGTCAATTCCAATCAAGTTCAGGGAACCAAATCTGTCTCGTGGCTTTTGGCCCTTTGACTTGTTGACAGTTCACATCCATAGATTGCGAGTCTTTATCCCAGACGTGCTAGCGCTTCGGATACATTCAATCATGCGTCGAATCCGGGGTGTCAAGTTGGCATGCCGGGCGTTGTCATTTCTATGAATTCACAGCTAGCCACATAACTAGTTCAAGTGACTTCTGCTTGCACCCGTTTGTCCGGTTCACGAACTGCCGCCTTGGGATGGTTATTGGATTTTTATTCCAGCTGCTTTCTGGAGATTTAAAAGTCGGCAATTAGGATGCTGGTAGGGTCATCCAGGTCGCTGGAACCCTCATCTTGATATATATGCACGGTCAAAAGTACCTCTTTCTAGTTCGGAAGTACAGTATTGAGTTTCGAATAATGACAGCGGCAACAAGGACGATTGGATATTGTCGCAAGTTGCCAGAAATGACACAGAAGATAGGAATGTCTTGTAGACTATGTAGATATCAATAAAACAAATATTTATGTCCCTTTGAGTCACCGGTCACAGTCAGCCAGGTACGTAGGACGTTCATAGCATGTGGAATTAGTCCAAGACCAATCAAAGCCCCTTACAGTATACAGTGTAGCGGCTGGAATAGGCTGGCATTTAGTCTGATCTGAAAACTGCCCAATAACCAAGGTTTCTCTCGCAGGGTCAGCCTAGGTCACAGCCCGACGCCCCTACGACCCCCAGCCCCCTTTGCATATGCCACAGTAACCCTGTTCCGTGGAGGTCCAATAAGCAGTCTGACGCTTAGGCAGAACCAAGTGTTTGCTTTGGGGTTAGATGGCAGGTATAAATATTGCGGCTCAAATTTGAAATATAAGTAGCAACGCCCTGCAGAGTAGGAGTCTCACCTCTCCCACTCCATCTCCCGTTCATCATGGCTACGCAGCTGATATCACAGGCTCTGCATTACAGCTGCGCTTTGGTAGCCGCTCTATACATCGTGGTCTGTTTCCTCAGCGGCAGTCCAGCTAAAAGAAGGAGAAAAGGTCGCCCCAAGCGCAGAACACAGCTTCGAGCCTCCCTAACGGCTTTGATTGTGTTCACATACATCGGCCAGACAGTTCTAAGCATTACCGTCAATGACCTTGACCGATCCCAATCATTTCTCGTGCATATGACCTCCCAGGCCGCCGTGTGGTCTGCAGTGTGGGTGCGGCAACATAATCCTTCCAAGTATGAGTTGGCCGGAGCGTCAGTCGTCACCGCTGGTTTCGAGATTCCACTCCTTGCACTCTCATTGTCCCACAAACCGAGGCAGTGGGAACCAATCGCGCAGATTGCCACTTCAGTCATTCGGCTTTTACTGCTTGTCTTGGTGGCGATCACTATTCTATTGGAAATCAGACAGAGAAAGAAAAAGGTCTTGGACGAGTCGCGGCCCTTTCTAAATGGCAACCGATCATCCTACGGCGCAGCCAATAGTCCCGATCTAGACGATAGCAGTGCTCTGTCTGACAGCGAGAGCGATTCGGACAAGAACGAAAATACAAGAGCTGCACGGGTCAAAAGGCTCCGCAAAGAACGACTACATTCGCTTGGTGGCTGGTGGAATTACCTAAAGGACTTTAGCATTTTTCTGCCTTATCTGGTGCCCAGAAATAATCGCAAAGTGCAGCTCTGCGTTGCCACCAGTGTTGTCTGTATAGCGTGCCATCGAGTTCTAAACATTCTGATCCCCCAGCAATTAGCCGATGTTACCGATAGCATCTTCGCCCACAAAACGCCATATACCTCTTTGGGAAAATGGGCCTTGTTACAGGTTGTTAGTGGCGGAGCTGGACTAGGGCTGATTGAAGCACTCGTGAAAATCCCGATCAGACAGTTTTCTTACCGGCAAATTACCAATGCGGCTTTTAGCCATGTCATGAATCTGTCGATGGATTTCCATATCGAGAACGACTCAGCAGAGGTTATGAAGTCGATCGATCAGGGGGGAGCGTTGAACAATATCCTGGAAATGGCTATCCTCGACATCGCCCCGGCAGTGGCAGACTTGTTTATTGGATGCTTTGTCTTCTACCTAAAGTTTAACATCTATGCTTCCCTTTTGGTGGTGATTGCCTCTATCACTTATGTTTCGGCAGAAGTCTTTACTTCCAACTGGAATCTAGAGCATCGACGTGACTTAACACAGACGCAGCGAAATGAAACTCGCATCATGCATCAAGCTGTGCAAGGCTGGCAGACTGTCACCTACTTCAACCAGTTCTCTTATGAGAGGTCTCGCTTTGGTGAAGCAGTTGATTTATGCTTAAAAGCAAGTGCCAGTTTTGGTCAACGACGGGCAATCGGAAAGGCGCTGCTAGACCTGCTCAGGCCACTTTCGTTTGTTGGACTCTCCTCGCTCATAGTACACGAAATCTCCGTGGGTCGAGCCTCAACGGGTGATTTTGTGTTCTTTATCCAGTATTGGTCGTCACTTATCTCTCCGCTGGCCTATCTCTCAGCACAGTATCGCTGGCTCGTTTCAGATCTAGTAGATGCCGAACGTCTACTGTACCTCTTTAATTCTAAGCCAAGTATCACTGAGAAGGAAGGTGCCACGATACTCAAGTCTGGAGACGGCCGTGTCGTTTTCGATAATGTCAACTTTGCCTACGATGCCCGACTATCAACCCTCAAAGACGTGGACATCACCGTCGAGCCAGGGACAACAGTTGCACTAGTTGGAAGGACAGGCTCCGGAAAGACGACAATCCTCAGACTCCTCCTCCGACTCTACGACGTAACCTCTGGTCGGATCGAAATCGACGGCCAAGATATTCGAGACATAACCCTCAGCTCATTACGCGAAACTATCGGCGTCGTCCCACAAGACCCAGTCTTGTTCAACGCGTCCATCCTTGAGAACCTGCGTTACGCTCGGCCCTCGGCTACAGATGAGGAGATCCACGAAGCATGTCGCGCTGCGGCTATCCACGAGAAGATCTTGACTTTTGTAGACGGGTACGACACTACGGTTGGAGAAAATGGTGTTAAGCTCTCTGGTGGGGAATTGCAGCGGATAGCCATTGCTCGGGTCTTCTTGAAGAAGTCGCCTGTTCTTCTCTTAGATGAGGCTACAAGTGCTGTGGATTCGGAGACGGAGTCTGAGATTCAGATTGCTCTTGACCGATTGAGAGCTAGACGAACTACCTTTGTTATTGCGCATCGGCTTTCGACAATTGTCGGCGCGGATAGGATCCTTGTTCTGCATGAAGGACGGGTTGTAGAAAGCGGATCACACCAGGAGTTGGTGAGGAAGGGTGGCAGATATCAAACTCTTTGGGAGAATCAGTTTGGTGGTGATAAAATTAAAAAAGCGTTATAGGGGGAAAAAAGGAGAAATTGAGGGTACAGATTGAAGGAGGATCTACACTAATTGCCTAAGTTAATATTATTCAAAATGATAATGACATGTTCTTCAGATGGAATTTATAGGGAGGAAAGGGGACCACATGGTCTACAACTGTTTCTTAGGAGCAAGCAACTTGTGTTTAAAATGAATCATCTACAAGGTCATCTTGTAAGAAATTTTGTCATCGCAGTTGAATCGGTATATATCCAAGATGTTGGTGGGGATCGACATATAAACTTCGGATGATGTGAAACGGCACATCATTTTAAAATATATATATGCGCAGTCTTTTGAGATATATCCTCAATGAACCGACTACTTTAGCTTTAGTCTCTGACGGAAAGAATATCACAGGACATCCAAATAATCTGTTGCCAAACCATGTCTACAACCGAAGGCAATTTAAAATTAACACAGGACATGTTGTCCACAGGCTAACAAAGCGAGGCAGAGACCCTTTTGGTCAAATTACAAGAAAGCTAGAATCTATCTAACAACGGAAGGGGGAGACAGCGAGATTAATACGTAGAATTTGTTGAGGAAAGAGAAGAGAAGATCCCAACTGCGTGTGGAGGAGGTTCCGGGAATCGTATAGTGTGCCCGAGTTGAGGGTCAGTTACCCGGGTTCCAAGCAACCATGATCAACGATCTACTCCGCACAGCAATCTATTTAGTCTGAGAGAACCTAAGCAAGTGAGCACTAAACCAAAAAAGGACGAACGCTCAAGGCTGTACCTCGGATTCCCGAGCCCCTTTCTCTAGCTTTGCGTTCATTTCCCCCTTTATAACCCCTTGGTTTCTGGTTCATCACAACATCAAGATGAGTTTAATTGGATCTACAAGATGCATCCGCTTGTCAAATTAGACGAACGGCTATCGAGGGTGTGAGCCCTAGAGGGCATGAGGGTATGACTCAAGCGGGTCTCTTAGGGCTTTGGGAGTCGAAATTTTCTAAAGCCACCCCCACAGCCCAACTCTCAACGCTCAACCAAGGCGTGGACTGCTACGTGCGCATGTACATGTGTACACCGTGGTCATTCTTAATGCATGGCTGCCCATACAGTCGATGTTATGACGAACTTCTATTCTGCAAGGAGGCGGTGAGCGATTCACACAGTATGAATGAAAAGAAATGGATCACGTTCTCGAACGCCCCAGACTCTTTTCATCGCCATCAAAATACACCAAAGCGGTAGACCAGAGCGACGATCGGGTGGAGCAGAGTTCCACGGTTCTTTTCAGGTACCGGGAGAATCATAGAGCCCCATCAGAAAAGTCTGTTCGAGGGGGGCAATACAGTAAAAACCGGATGTCGGTTAAATGGTAGATTCGGGGTATCGCAACTACAGTACTCTGTACTTTGTCTAGATCCTATGAGGTAATTCTTAACGTTAATTACGACACAGATGAACTGCGGTGTTTATTGTGTTTATTATGTTTATCACAAATAAGCCGAAGATCTTTTGTATGTTCCTGCGCATGACGCTAGGGGTTCGGAAACTACGCAACTTCCGGACTGGCCGCGAAAGTGTGACGAGAATCTTCATTTCTGTTGAGCACAGCGCTTCTGGAAACAGAACCGAGTACCGATCGGATCCGGCCACTAAATGGGCCTGTACTGTAGGTATACAGAGTATGATTGACAAGGGTCTATACACCTATCGGATACCGAGGGAGGCGAAGAATCTCGTATTGTATGCGCCTCATTTGGGGCCACATGAAGGCGACTTTCGGCCTCTTCCTGGGCGTGGTCGCCCGGAATTGGCCTATGGACCCGGACAACAAACAACACAATTATTCTCTGTACAGTGTACACGTATGTGTCGGTAATAGTTTGGTAATATGCAAGTCGCCCCTGGCGTCTGTGCGGGAAGACCCTTCGTGTTCCTGAGTTAGCGCCTTGTTTAGGTGACTTGTTAGGGCTCCAAAGGCCATAGTTCGGATACGATGGAGCCCAATTTGGGTAGTCCCATAGTCCGCGTGTCTCAACGCCCAATCAAACATCTTAGCTTCACCTGAAAAATCAATAATCATTAAAACAAAGGAAGAAAAATAAGCCACAGGGCTCTCTAGTGGACGAATGGCTCTTTCCCCAGGTTCGGACCTGGCTTATTATTTAGGGCATTCCGGGCCCTGTCCGATTTTTCCCTTTTCTCCTGCAGGCACTTTAAGAGATTTCTCTATACACTCGTTTACCAGTTACTCGTTTTATCTTGAGCAGCGCTCTCCCCACGCTCCTTACCATACATTCCTTGACGCTCGTTTGCGCACATTCTAAAACAAGCCCCAAACAGCCATTGTCTCATTGTGAAGCCTCACACTGCGCATACCAAATCTTCCATACTTCACGCCTAACATCGGACCTCTCACCTTGTTCCAATTCATCTCAATTACTCATACATCAATTGATTACTGTTGCGCATAACTTGCCACAATGAAGTTCACCACTGTCATCACCTCCCTCCTCTGCCTGGCAGCTGCCCCGCTGGCTCTCGCAGAGGACGACGTCACATCGACTGCGACGACCACCATCACCAAGACTCTGATCCGGGTCAACTCGGTGACTCCCACTCCCACCCCGAGCTCCAGCATGGTTACCGTGTCGGCTACGGCCACCTCGACCCCTCTGTCTCACGCTTCTTCCACCACCTCGGCTGTCGCAGCCGCCAGCTCGACTGGCGCTGCTATGAACCTGGGCGCTGGCGTGCCAGCTGCCCTTATCGCGGGATCTTTCGCTCTCATCATGGGCCAGGCCCTGTAATTGGTGTGCATTGTGACGAGGCGCATTGCGCATTCATGCAAGCTGCGCTCAGCTATATCGGGTCCAATGTCCTCCTCGACCTTTCTTTATACAGCATGAATGCCGCCTTGTCTCTTCTCGCGAGCCGTTCATCTTCAGCAGAGCCGGGATTTATACGCTTTTTACTTCTTTTTTACTTTTTTTGGACTTTCTATTCCTCTCGGTTAGCTGGAGAACCTATTTTGGAGAGGAAACGGTTTTACGCTTCTCAAATACCCCTGTTCTTTTTCCCCCCATGATTTCGTGGAACGATACGAGTTGACGCTGTTATTTAACCTTCTCAACAACCACTTTTTTCGATTCTCCTGTCCATATTCGTTTGGCGGATGACTGTTAGATCTGGCTCTTACCAATGGCGTGTTGTGTTGGATTTGGAACGGAGAGGATCTCATAGTCATCTACAGAACAATTGACACCTTTGTTTCTTGATACCCTATATAAATAACTATATAACGTTAACTATACAACTACATGTACAACTCTGGAGTGCCGATCATTCCAAGCCGTGGCCTCCGGGGTCGGCTGATGGCCGTGCACCCACGCGTCTGATCTGATCTTATCTCTGGCATTCCAATCTCGAGTTCTCACCTCTTCTCTCTTTTTCCCCTTTCCAATTACAATAAAAGGTACAATTTACTGTAGAGAGACCCCCAATTGATCCCATTTTATCTCCCATTCGCGCAATTAGCGCGTTTGTTGACGCCCGTCCCTATCGCGGTCTCCACCACGCGTCGCACCTCAACTAGCACCAGACGAAAACCACCCTTCAGACTTCAGACCGAACCTGATGAACCAGGCGGCCCCACAGCAAATACTCGTCTGAACCCAGCGCACCATCGCAATGGACGGCGAGATCCCCCTCCCTCCGCCGCGGCGAATCCGGCACCGCTCACCCGCGCACGCGGTCAACCCCTCAGCACCAGGCACAGGCCCAACCCCTGCGATCGCCTCCTTCCACAAATCGCAGCGCCTATCCCGCTTTGACGATCGCTCCAGCCAGCCATCTAGTGACCCCGCGCTCTTTTCCAGCGACGACATCCCCGCGTCTGGCTTGGAGAACTATCATGCGCCTGTGTCTGGCGCGGGCCGGAAACGGCGGTATCGTGGGACTTGGTGGGGGGAACAGGTGATCGATCCGAAGCGCAAGCGTGGGGAATTTAAGGATAAGAGAAATGTCGATAGTGGTGTCTGGATGGGGAGTGATGAGTCTGTTGCGGAGTCGCTTTTGCCTTCGGAGGATGGCTCAGCGTGGGGAGAGGATTTGCGCAAGTCGGTGCTTGATCCGAGGAAGTCAGGAAACTCGACTCCTCTGCTTATCGGGACCGAGAATGCTTCTGCGCAGATGAAAGGTGTGGTTAAGGGACCTGAGGAGTCGAAGGAGCAGCGAGTTGCGAGGGAGGTTGTTAATGATTGCCTGGATAAAGGACAGGAGAGCATTGATCTTGGGTAAGCTCTTTGGTCTGATATATGCTTGATGCAATGGTCTAATCGATTCTTCCCTTTAGCGACTTTCATCTGAAAGCCATACCCTCTGGTCTATTGCGACCTCTGCAGCATCTAACGAAACTTCCCTCAGTCAAGGAAGCCCCTGTCTCTGAGAATGTCTTTACGTCTTTGCAGCCATTTCTTCGAATCTTCCTTCCAAACAACTCCCTCTCAACCTTGCACAACGACCTATTCGAACTCAGCAATCTCAAGGTCCTTAGCTTGCGGAACAACAAGCTGACCGAACTTCCATCTACTATTCGCCGACTGACAGCCTTGCAAGTGCTTAATCTCTCAGTCAACCGACTGACCTGTCTCCCATGGGAACTTATAAAGCTCATGCAAAATGGCGAACTGAAGCACCTGACTGTACGACCAAACTCATTCCTCCCAATCGAGGAAGCCCAGATAGCCGAATGGCACCACAACGCCAATAAAAAGCAGACAGAAGAGCCCGACGAAGAATTTATATCTAGCCAACTCCAATTCAACCACGACGAATCTTCAGACATCCGCGAGCCCTTCTGGGACTCAATCCACGTCGCCACAGGCCCAACAACCTTCCTAAACATGGAAGGCAACCCAGTCAGAGAGAGTGCACTCACCAACCCCTCCATCAATGCCGCCCCATCTCTCCGCGAACTCTCTCTCCGCACCGTGAGCAAGCTCCCCTACCTCGAGCAAGCCACAGACGAAGAACTAGCCGAGTACCCGGCCCTTCTCGTGCCTCTCCTCCGCCAAGCAAGAGAAGTGCGCGCAGCAGGCGGACAGCCCTGCTCTGTATGCGATCGTGAGTTCGTGATTCCCCGCACAGAATGGCTGGAATGGTGGGATATTACACCGTGCGAGAACGGTATGAAAATGCCCCGTCATTCTGGTGAGAAACTTCGGCCTTTGCCATTCCGTCGGCTTGGGTGTAGTTTGTCCTGTGTTCCCGGATCACAATGAATGTGGAACTTTTTTTTGATTGATTGCATATACCTCCTTATGTGGGCCTTGTTTTCGGGTTTATTGTAAATTTGGTGTACATAGATTGCATGTTGATCTTCGGTGCTGGGATTCATTGTATTTTGGTTATTGGACATACTATTTGTGATGTGTCCTTGTAGAAATTATGACAAATACGTTGGTTGGTCTTTGTAATTGTTTTTGAACTTGATTTGGTATCAATTCTGGTATCAATTGACTTTAATGAGGCTCGCCTATTCTGTTTGCGCAGCCTGTCCTGCCGTGAGCCTTGCAGTAGCCCTCGAGTGGTGTGCTATGCTGACCAACTCTATGCTTTGCTGAGAAATGTGTAAATTTTGCTAAGAAATTCACATCATGTGCTGAACAATCACTAGACCTACGGTGCCCTAACTACATACCGCAGATGCACAGATCACATCCAAGTATAATTAAGCTCCCTAGACAGAAAGCCAGGAGAGTAGACTAAGCTAATTAATGCAATATCTAACCTAAAGGTATATAAAGAGATTCATCTATCCCAAGGTTCCCCCAAACATCAAACACCAAGGAAACCAACAAACCAAGTCCCAAACCACAAATCAACCCACCACGACCAAAATGCCAACCTTCACCAAACTAAACCGACCCTAACCTCGCTAAAAACAGCACATCCTCAGGCCTAGGCCTCTCGTCGCCCGAGCCATCCAATCCGTTAACCAAAAAGTAATAGAAACCATCCCGTAATCCATCCCGCACACCAGAGCTAGTATCCGAAATCACCTCCAATGGCGGCGAATGGCACGCCCTAGATATGAACGACCCATCCGCGCCAGCGGCACTCCTAGCCAAGCTCACCGCGTCCGGAATCACAATCGACGTGCTGGTGAACAATGCCGGCTTCTGCATGGTTGGGGTTCTAGAGCAGACCTCAGATGATGAGATGTGCGATCAGGTGGAGACGTTTTTTTAGACCGTATCGGCTTTGTTAAGGCTTTCGTGCCGGGTTCTTTCGTGCCGGGTATGCGGGAGAGGAGGTTTGGTGTTGTACTTAATATTAGTTCTAGGGCTGGGTTGGACGGTGGAGAGGGATTAGGGGCTTATGCTGCTGCTAAGGCTGCTGGGGATGGTATGTTCTCTTTCTGGTTTCTGGTTCATTGTTTATCGATTTATACTTTGGTGTTTTGTGTTTATTGACTGGTGTCTATGCTATATAGGGTTATCCAAAGTTCTCACTATGGCTCCGTTCAACATCCCTGTCTTGACGGCTTGGTTCAGTACTTTCAATACTGGAATTGGGAATGCTGGTGTTTTGGCTACTGGGGCTTTGCCTGGAGACTACGAGGCTTCGGCTGCTTCTCAGGTTATTGGATACCTGCAGAGGTGCGTTTGCTACGGATGGAGACAAGGATAAGGCGCTAAGGCTATTATGAGATTGTGATGGGTGAGGGTGTTAGTGCTAGAAATGAGGAGGAGCGGATTTTCCTTTTGGGTCGGGAGATGATTCCTCATGCTAAGATGGTGCAGGATCAGTTTAGCCGTACGCTTGAGGCTTTTGGGAACGTTGCTCGAAATGTGTATATTGATCAGAAGTGAGACTGAAATAGAGGCTTTGTTTTATGTAGTTTAGACCAAGTTGTCGTGAAAACTCAAGAAAGACGAGATCGTTCGCCAAGTTTTCCGATAGGTGGTGTTTTCATTTAGGTGAATAGTGAAATGTAGTTTTGAGCTACTCGAGGATGTATACGACCAAGAACATGGCTTAGCATAATTGGTAAAGGGTAGCCAAGTCTCCAAAGCAATGGAATACATTTGCATATTCTCACGAAGTAAAGATTTAAACGATTGACCCGCGGTGTATCCCAGCCGCGTCAACCACGCCTGCACACTTTGCAATCGCCTAGCACACCGGGATGTTCTCACTCAACGCCAGGGCAGAATCAAGTCATGAAAAGGAAAACCAGAAAGATCGCTAATAAGCATGCTTCAATACAAAGGGAGCAAATTTCACACACGCTGTGACGGGGAATGATGAAAGGAAAAGAGTGGACCAATATAGAGAGGTTAGCGGTTACGGTCCGCACGAGCCTGGTGCCAAATCGTATCACCACTCAGGGCCGAGAAACTAAGGGTTGCTAGGTTTCTCCAACTTGACTGTGGCGCAGAGCTTGCATGATCACCAAGTAGACCTGCAGTTTGCTCGGTATCAGAAGCATCATCTGTGACGCCTTCGATTAATACCGGAGCGGAGGACGCGCCAGCCCGGGGAATGGACTCGGAGGAATGGAAATCATTGGATTGTTCATGGGAGCTCTGAGAGTCAGGAGTCTGACAGTGAGCCATTGAACGCACAACGTCGCCTTTACAGATCGGGCAAGTTCGTCGACGGGTAGTCAACCAGGGCGTGCTGGTGAAAGGGTTAGCATTGCTCGTAGTTGATATACCACTATAACTTACATGCACTCCACATGGAATTCATGGCCACACGGCAAGCTCATGACCCGGCTCTGGCCATCGATATATTCCTCAAGACAGACAACACACTCAACCTGCCTTCCGGTGTACTTGCGTCGCCACAACGTGGAGCCGGTTTGTAGGCTGCACTTCTCTTCCCTGGGTAGCACCGACGAGTCTAGCATAGTTCCCGACACTGTTTGCGAACGGGATCTGTTTGGTCGAGATGCGCTCGGCTGGATTTCGTTGCCAAGAAGTGGAGAGGTTGGCGAGAGAGCACCAGGGCTAGAGGGACGCGGTGAACTGGATGATGACGAAGAAGTTGTGGTGATTGTGTGATAAGTCCGGACAGGAAGTCGTTCAATGACCGACTTTGGCGCACGCCATCGACGGCGTCGGATCCGAGACCGAAGAAGCAATAGCGCGTACACCACGGTTAGTGTAAGCAGCGGACTAACGACAAGTACCAATAGCGTATCGAAGAAGGGGCTGGTGGACATGCTCGTGGGAGTCAATGTGACCCAGAGACCTTCATGCTCAGAAAACTCTGCGCTAGGGCGACTTGACGATTGAGGGCCGGGTTGAACTTTCTGGTTGGCTACTGTGCCTTTCTGAAGCGAAGGCGATGACGAGGGCAATGTCTCTTTTTTGGACTCATCTCCCCAGCTGAAGTGATTGGAGAACCAGCCCTTGGTCGATGAACCAGAAGATCCAATTTCTGCATTGGCTCCAACAGATTGTTTCCCAGAAGCCTTCACGCCCGAGTCATGAGAAATACTGGATTTGTCGATGCTTTGATATTCTCCGCTGCCGGGAGTGATGCTACCACCCTGAAGAATGTTGGATGACGAAGCAGCGTCTTTTTCTGCATTCGCAGTCTTGGATGTGTCCTTGCCTGTCGTAGAGGTGCTCGCTGTCGAAGGCGTGCCGCTCTTAAGAGGCATCAGATCGGGATCTCTCCAATCTTGAACTCCAATGACAAAGTCATCATCGCCAAAGCTTTCAGGTGACATATCGGCCTTGTTAGAACTCTCCAATTTGTTGTCCAATTTGGCACGAGTGCGGCGATTAAGATCCGTTGACCTCTTCCATGCGCTTTGTGGGGTTAGTGGGGTTTCTTTCTCGTCCCACGAGCCTAGGTTAATCCAGTCAATGTTGCCACTGCTGGGCGGACGTCGGCTGTCCTCCAAATGGCCTGAGCCGGCGTTCTTATCGCACAATCCCAGGAGCGAGCCAAGTGCACGGAAGAAACCACCTTTGGAATGAGATGGTGCTGCAGGCCTCTCTTTGGCAGTCGAATGGACACTGGCGCTAGGGGTTGGTGTAACCGAAGCCGTCGTTGAAGTGGCCACTTGCTCTTTGTCGGCATCCAGCTGACCTGCTTGATTCGCTTGAGATGATTTCAACACATCTCCCAGGCTAGCAGTACCTCCCGCATGTCCAGGAATCAATGAAGATAGAAGATGGGCGGTGGTGTAGGAGGTGAACAATGCTGGAATCGTGACATTTGAGGTATCGCCCCGCGCATACATGGTGACCAGGTTGCCACCTCGAGTATCATCGCCAACGATCAAAGCGACTCCTCCTCGCCGTTGCGCCCATTTGACCTTTTCCAGGAATCCACAGCCGCCTCGACTCAACAAGACCACTTTGCCCTGGATCTCGGCAGTCTCCTGTAGCGATTGGATATCGGCATGCGCGGGTGGCTTGTTTTGAACATAATCTCCATACTTCTGACTCATACCGGGGTTTGAAGCCCCGGATTCGGGTAGTGGATGATGCAGGTGGTCGTCGGTGCCATCATTCGACGGCGGGGTAGTGGTATCATCTCTATCGTTCTGCGGTGTGGTGTCGGCCTGCGACACCGACCGCTGCGGGCGATTTGGCAACTGATCATTCGCTGTGCTACCTCCGGGCTTGCCGGAACTCTGATCCGTGCCCTTGGAGGCTTTGTCCTGTTTCTTTTGGTTGGCGCCCTCGCCCCAACCGGGAATATCGGAGCAGCCCAGTTCTCCTTCCACGCCACCGGCAAGTCCGCCCTCTCCAAAGCCACTTCCTACCCACAACTGACCACTCAAGCCCTTTACCGGCAGGAGCGGACCAAATGCCGCTGGCCGAGCAAGGAAGAAGGTCGAGTTGTCATCGGTGAGACTGATGATGGCCGACGGAGGGAAAAGCGAGGATGGTATATTGAAAGAAAACAGAGAATGTAACCGAGTCGTCCGACCAGCGAGCGTATTGGGGGTCGCCACACGAGGCGAAGTGAGCGCGGAAAAGATGGTGAGGAGGATCGGGAAGAAGATTAGGCAGAAGAGCACGATAATCAAGCGTGGCGGTCGCATGGCTGGTAGATGAGGCTGTCCTCAACGAGCAGCTCAGAAATTGCTCTTGGGGTGTATCGAGGGAGTGATATGCGGGACCGTATCACTGTACTTCTAAGGTTTGGGGTTATCTCTTATGACCAATCCAACGGTTGGCGGCAAGTGATCAGGCTGCCACTCATCGAGCACAATGAGCAGCACCACGGCTGTTTGAAAGAAACCGCAGGTGACCACACCAAAAAGGAGACAAGGAGATAAGGAGAGAGTTGAAGTCAGGTGGAGAAGGAGACTCGGGAACTGATGATCGATTACCTAAATGGAGTCTGTGACGGCATGTTCACCGTGTCATGTGTTGGAGTCACATGACCATGTACACAAACTTTCAACCTCAACCTCAACTTCATGTTGGTGGGAACAACATATGGATGTTGTGGATGTCTGTCCTACATATTGAAACTTTACATGCCTCTACCTCTAGCTGTGAAACACTAGGTCAAAGAAGGCTAAGTCAAAGTGGCAAACAAAGTTACGTCAGTGAAACAAAAATAAGCCCTGAACAACAAACAACACAACTGTAAAGCTAGTGTGCACGCAGGAGTCCATGTCCATGTATTGCTACAGAGTGCAATGCAGACATCTATAAGATCTAGTGAAGTAATGTTCTGGTTCGCGGACGATCTGCTGGTCATGTCATCATGGCTAGGCAACTGCGTAACCCACCTCCTTTTCCGTGAGTTATCTAACACATATGGCCTACACCTGCGCATGTATGGAGTATGGAGACATCTACAGTACACAACGAGGTTTCTTACTTACATCAAGGCACAGGATATTTTTGGACGATCAACGATAAGGCTAGCTCCACTTACTCTGTGGGGCTTAGGGGATATTAGCCCCGCTAGACATGACGTATCTAATTCGCCTTGATCGTTCTTTGGTAATTATTCTAGAAACTCTTTTTACTGCTCACTGGACGGCTATAAACTTATACTTTGAAGCTCAATATAGGAGGAACTACCAACTTAACATAAAGCTAATTCTAGCTATTCCTTGTCAAAAACTGGATGGACAGAGCAATTGGCAACCGTGGAACCCACTTAATATGAAACCATGGTCGTACACCTAAGCTCCCCGGCCTGTTGCTGCATAGCTTACCTCCACGGTCGTATGGACTTAAACCTTGAGGACCTGGTTCAGTGGCGTTCTAACCCATGCAGATCCGGGACATGACGACGGATGACATTAACTGTACTCCTCATTTTCAGCCAAGAATCTGATAATGGTTGATTAACCCGTTTGGAACGTCATGGAAGAGTGAAAGAAGACAATCGTGGGTCGTTATCCACGTTTCACTGGTGCTGGTATTCGTGGACCCCCGCGTTATGGCGTCACTAAATTTCCGCAAATAGCGACCTTGTAGTAACTGATCGAGATCAATCATGGCCCAAAAGGCATATAAGTCGGCTGTGATTCCCAATTGCCAAAGTATCTTTAAGAATCCCAAGATCCAACAACCCGGAACTATTTGATCTAAAGAATAATCTATTAACCCTTCTGTTTCTCAACACTCTGCATTAACTCCTCTTTTATAACCAATTTATCACTATGTCGAACCTCATGCACAAAGTCAAGGATGTCATGACTGGCCATCACGACAAGAACGAGAAGCACAACACTCATGACTCCAAGGCGTCTCAAAGGGTGGATGGTTCGTTATTCCACCTCAACCTCAGAACATGGTACTAACAATTCAATGCATAGATGCCCGCCATACCTACGGATCCTCTCATAATACCACTAAAGATCACGGTTCGAACCAATACAACTCTGCCGGTGCTGGCTCCGACATCTATGGCTCTGGAACTGGTGCTGGCTATGAGTCTGGTGCCCACCACGGCTCCAACATGGGAACCGGCAACTATGGCATCGGCAATGCTACCGGCGGCTATAGTTCGGGTACCCACCACGATTCCAGCATGGACAGAATGAATGGTGAGTACAATCAACCAACCCCTTCCTTCTATTGACAAAGCAATTGACCGTGGCAGAACCCTCCAACACCTATGGATCGTCCACTACTGGCCCCACAGGTTCTGGTGCCTACGGTGCCACTACTGGCAGTGGCACTGGCATGGGCGGCAGCGGTATTGGTGGCTACAACTCTGGCGCCCAGGACTCTAGCATTAACCCTTCTAACCCCTACGGGTCCTCTACTACCGGCACTGGCAACTATGGCGCCGGTATGGGCAACACCAGCTCAGGAACCTACCATGACTCCCGCAAGGGCCCTATGGACATCGGTTCCACTGGAGGAAACTATGGCTCCGGATCTGACAACTACGGATCGAGCAACATGGGCGGATATGGCTCAAGCACCATCAATGCTGGCCCTCATGACTCCAAGATTGCCAACAAGTTGGACCCTCGCGTCGACAGTGACCTAGGTAAGCTAAATTGTTCCTCATTACCATTTAGGGCCAAGCTAACGTTTACCCATAATAGACGGCCGCGCACAGCACGCTGGAAACACTGGCTCCACCGGACACTCCAACACCTACGGCTCCAGCAACCCTATGACTAGCACTGGCCGCGACAACTACGGTAGCTCCACTGAAGGCTACAACACTCGCTCCCATGCCAGCCACAACATGCCTTCGCAGATGGACTCCCGCGCTGAGCCCGGCTACGATACTCGCTCTGGTCAGCAGTTTGGCGGCAACGCTACCGGTGGCAGCAGCTACAACGACCACAGCTCAAGTACCAGGAGGACCTCCGGTCCTCATAACTCTGACTTTCTGAACAAGCTTGACCCCCGTGTCAAGGAATCCAAGCAGAACACTATGGCCAACCAGCGCGGCGGCTACTAGATTATCTCACTGTATTTCGGACATCACGACTAATTAGTTTCTCGTTGTACTTTTAGCTTTACGAGTATGATACAATTTGATATGAACATTCTTCTTTATAATTCAGCTTTTTGCATAAATTTTCCAAGGTTAGATCGACCGTTATCAATGGATTTGTAATGCTAGAGAAAATATAGCAAGAGACAGACTCGTTTAACTCTTGCCGTGGCAGCTTATATATGATGTGCCTTAGTTCCAATGCACTTCCTGGTACTTTAAGGCCCTCGGATACGCAAATGGCTCAAACACTGAGCCCAGACCATGTCTTCCTTACAATGGAGACAAATAATGATAAGCTAGTTCGTTTTCCCCGCATAGGTGGTAGCCTGGCCGCGACAATACGGCGACAATACGAACCGTTCTGTCGCTTTAAGTCCCCACAAATACCTCCTGGACTTTCTTCCTCATCTCTCTCCACCCCTTCAACCCCTTTCATTATATTTGATCATTTAGTCCCCAGAAGTATTCATGAGCATTCCCCAAAGTTCAACCACTGAGCTCTCATGCCGCAATATTGGTAAGCGTCCGCCAGTGACGATCTTCCCCAGGGTGATGTGCAATCAAGCCTATCTGGAACTCTGTGTCTTCATGGAATCGAGTAAATCGCGAGTACGTTCTTCTTTCCAGACCTATTCTGTACGTGGAAAGGTAAGGCCAGCACCTCTATCCGGGTACGTAACATCATGGATACTAGAAGCGCTGAAGAGGTATGATACAGGATTGCGAGCCGATTAGTGGCCGTGTCTATCAAACAATTTACCCATGCGTATATTATCAAGCATGCAAAACCGCTCTAAGTTCTTGACATCACACTCGACAATCCATCATGCGATGATCGGGTGTTTATTCCCCGGACCGAGTGCTGGCGTGAAAATGCTGGCAATTGTTTACCATATGCATCATCGCTTCTCTTAATCCATATTGAAGAAAAGATGAACACAGCTCTGAGCTTGTTTGAGCTCAATCCTAATTGGAAGGTTGCATGGTTTGTTGCTATCATCAAAGTTAAAAAAATCATAACAAACATCTCTTGTGATATTAAATCCAAAGAAACAAACTTCCTTTTTACGCGCTCGCTCGCGGAGCTCTAAAGGTCGGAAAATCCTTCACAGAGCCCTCAAAAATGACATCTAAGGGAACGAAACACGAACAAAGCCCGAGGGCGACTTTATACCGATCTAATCATATTCTCCCTGGAATATGGTGTATATATCGATTGTTGCTTGCTTGAAACGATCTTTGAGTGGTTGTTATGAGCAGGTTATATAGGACTATACCGTCCCTGGCTGATTTGTGCTGGTGAGATAACGTGCCCTATAACGATATACGGACGCCAATCAAGAGTGCTCATTCTGTTTCAAATCGGCTCAGATTGCACGACGCAGATCTACCAAGGGCGATATACACACATTCCCTCTACCCTTTATGCAAGGGCGGTATACACACAAGAAGCACTGGCAGATGCTGGTGCTGAGCCTCGACTTGTTCCGTCCTGGCGGGTTTGCCTGGGAGCATCTGCAAATTTATATTCCATAGTGCTTGCAAAATAATCCTAAGTTTCTTTGTAGCAGATATCTACATGATGCATGTGTGATATGATGCTATATTCTCTTTGACTATCTAGAGGGTCTATAGGAAAAGCTTAAAACTATAGAAGCTGTACACTGATTTGCCGACTAAGTTGTATATTTCTGCTGCTGGCAGGCGATGCGAACTTATCACCCGTATTATATCGAACAATGCACAACTATGTTCCTAATAGAAAAGCCATTGGTATCGAGGCTTTCAAGGTTCATCAAATGGCTACGCTCTACTAGATTAGGCTAGCTGTTAAGACTTCTACATATTCAAAAGATCTTGTTCGCAAAAGGTTTCTGTTTATTAAGCTTCCGAGCATTTTGCTTATTTCCTACCATATCTATAACTGGCCCCTCAAGCCCCAGCTTCGTAACTAATTGCAGGGGGGCAATCCTGGCCCCAACAGCGAACCAGTCATCTTGAGGCTCTGCCCGGCCCGAAGCCATGAGTGGAGCATTGAATGCAACTACTACTATACAAAGAAATCACGCAACCATTTAGCCCCATTTCGTCTGCATATTCGATTATTCAACACTCGCTAGTAGGTTAGGTATACTGAAAGACCGAAAGGCCGAACAGCTCAACATGACAAATATACGCCATCAATTCAACCTTGGAATTATTCTTCGTGAGAATGATTTCACAGTATAAAATGATGAGTTCGATCACATCGCCATGCCTCTTCTATGTCGCCCTTTGCGAGAAAGATCTATACAGCATTTAAGATACCAAACCTGACGCCATGTCCCTCCGTTTACACCAGGACTTGGTGGATAAACCCACCACTCCACCTACTGGACTGAGTGCCGACACCGATATATCAGTGACCGAGAAACAGACGGCCGCGGAGCCAGCCAACACACCCCCTCCGCCGCCTGATGGCGGACTTGTCGCGTGGCTACAAGTCGTAGGAGCTTTCTTTCTGTTCTTCAACTCATGGTGAGCATAAGTTGGTCCCAAAAACCAATAATAACTGGTGGATATCACGAATATCTAATTTCTCCTTATGTAGGGGCCTGGTGAATGCCTTCGGCGTCTTTCAGAGCTACTATCAATCAGATCTCATCCCCAGCTATTCGTCTTCCTCCATAACCTGGATCGGCACAGTGCAAGGGTTCCTCCTTTTGCTGGTAGGCGTTGTCGTAGGGCCCATCTTTGACAAAGGCTACCTCCGTAGCCTGGTTACCGTCGGGGCATTCCTGGTGGTGTTTGGTCTGATGATGACCTCCTTGTCGACTAAATACTACCAGCTCTTCCTAGCACATGGAGTCACAGTGGGTATTGGCTGCGCCTTTTTGTTCCTGCCCAGCATTGCCATTGTGGCCACCTATTTTAGCTCCCATCGCGCAGTCGCAACCGGCATCACCGCGTCGGGTGGAAGTATCGGCGCAGTGATCTATCCCATCATGTTCCACAAACTGATCGACCAAGTCGGATTTGGCTGGACGACGCGCATCATTGCCTTTGTGGCCCTGATGGGTTTGAGCGTGTCACTACTGGTGTTGAAACGACGACTGCCTCCGGCTAAGCTGAGCCGATCACTCCTCGACATCGGCGCGTTGAAAGAACCTCCCTTCGTTGTGTTTGCTTTCGGCCTTTTCTTTTGCTTCGTGGGACTATACTTCCCGTTCTTTTACTTGCAGAGTTACTTTGAATTATATCTGCACGACGACAGCAGCCTGGCCTTTTACATTTTCTCTGTGTTGAACGCCACCTCAGTCCTGGGCCGTATCACCCCCGGTCTGCTTGCCGATCGTGTCGGCGGACTCAACACCCTCATCCCTATTAGTCTTCTAGCAACTATTCTGTCCTTTGTGTGGATCGGTATCCGTGATGTGGCTGGAACCGTCGTCTTCGCATGTTTCTACGGCTATGCCTCTGGAGCAATTGTCTCACTGCCGCCCTCCATCCTCACGCGCATGTCCCCCAAAATGAGTGTTGTGGGCACACGGCTAGGCATGACATTCATGTTTGCCGGGTGCGGATTCCTTATCGGCACCCCGATCGCTTCCACCGTGTTAGATTTGGCAAAAGCCGAGTTCTGGAAGGCGCAACTCTTCAGTGGTATATTTGTGGCAGCTGGGACAATTTGCTTTGTGATTTTGCGGGTGATTTTGGTTAAGCAGGTGGATGGGTGGAAGATCTGAGATCCTAGCGACACTGAAGAGCTGGGATGATTTATTAGAACTGGGTTCTTGGTAGAAGCCATCTTACCGCCCCTTGCTGGTTCAGACATACCGCAAAATATCCGAGATCTTTGATAACAAATAGAGATTGATAGAAAGGGTCTTGATAGAAATACCCGCAAGCAAACAGCTCATTATTCTCACGCTTGCAAAGCCTAAATGGTACGTATGGTAGTTGTTATGAGATCAAAGAGGCCGAGACACCGTTTTATGTGACATACCGTCTACATAAATGCGGCATTTATCCTGGTTTGCTGCAATTCCATAACCTACCATAGAACCTGCTACTAGCCATCACGCCGGTATGTTATTCATGTTGTATATTTTAGAGACGCTTCACTTCATATACTCTGCCTAAGTGTACAATCTTCCACCCAGGCTTGAGAGAATCAAAGTGCTAGGTATTTGCACTTTGTCAACGTGATTTAGTATGTGTGTACATAATCAGTTGATGATATACGGTCAGCGTATTTACAGAAGCCGACCGAATACCTAGAAAATATGCTTATATTACTGCGCCTTGAGTGAACGTTAACTGGACAGAGAATTAAGATACTTGATCAAGTTTCGCGGGAAAATCAAAAGATATAGTTCAGTTCGATTTGTCCGCTTATTCATTTAACCCTTATTCAGATTTCAATTTTGAATGATGTCGCAACTCGTACCTCATCTGTAGTGTACTGCATACGAAATCATTTGTCGGGGACCCGATTCAGCGTTTTGGCCCCCACAGAACGCCACCAGCCCCATTCTTGATGATTCTTGATGCGATTTGAGAAAGATGAATATAAGACAATGGAGTCTGACTGAACAAGAATGTCTTAAAAAGCTTGTTTGTCCATCCTCCGTGAAGTTTCTCATCCGAAAATCAAATCTTTTCTCCCATTCAAACATGCTATCTCCAATATCCTCTATGCTCGTCCCAACTTTCTTCCTCTTCATCGCCACCTTGGTTTCTTGTACACCAACAAGCGCTATAAAGCCAGTTGTAACCACAGTTTACCAATTCCCCAGTGGCGCATACCTCGAGAATCTCGCCGTTGGCCATGAGAGCATTTTAGTCACCCGTGCAGACACACCTTCACTATATCAAATCAAGCTCCCAGCCAGGCCTCATGCTAGTGCCTACGCCAGCCTGATCCATCATTTTCCCAACGCAACCGGGCTGATGGGAATTGCAGAATACGCCCCAAACACATTCGCTGTAATTGTCGGCAACTTCTCCATGACAAAGCTAGTTCCCGGTACCTGGTCCGTTTGGAGTGTCCAAATTTTCGATAAAAACCAACATTCTACAATCGAGAAAATCGTCGACTTGGTAGAAGGCCAGTTTCTCAATGGAATGGCAATTTTGAATAAAACGGGTGCAATTTTGATTGCCGACAGCTTGGCAGGCTGTGTATACCATCTCAATGTCAAGACGGGCGCCTACGAAGTTGTTCTTGAGCATGAATCAATGAAAGCCACCGGGGCGATTGGACTCAACGGGATCCGCACAGTCACTACTGCGACCGAAAGCTTCCTTTATTATGACAACAGCAAGACAACAACCGTGAATCGGGTTGCTATTGATCCTGTTTCCGGACGCGCGAAGGGAAAATATATCACATTGGCTCATGGGTTCTATGCCGATGACCTGGCCTATGATTATGAGACAGGTGATGTCTGGGTTGCGGGTAACGCCGATAACACGATTTTCCGGATCAATTACGACGGAGACGAGATTGTTGTGGCGAATGCGTCTAGTACTCCATCTGTGATGACCCCATCGAGCCTTGCGTTTGGAAAGGGAAGGCATAGTCGCACGCTGTTCAGTACAACTTATGCTGGGGTGGCGCCGAATGGGACAGTCACCGGCGGGAACTTGCTGGCGATTGATGTTGGACTAGAAAAACGCTGAAATAGCAGGGATTTCTATGCAAGGATCACTGGGCAAGTTAAGTATATCGTGAAGTATCCACTTGAATACACATGCATTTTTAAGTCTCCCTAGTTTGGCTATCAAATTACCTAGACTTCCAAAGTTCTATAACAGGGAGCCCACGGGTTTTGTTTAAGTTTTGGTTGGTCTTTGTTACCTTTTTGCATTTTTTTTTCATTTTTCAGGCTTCTTTTAAAGTGTATTAGCGAGAACCAGGATAGGTAAATCGGATTGGAAATGAATTCAACTTTGCGACAGGTAGCCATTAAATCAGTCTCACACCACATACCCTACTCCAAGCTTTTTCTGATTCCATCTGCCGCATGGCCTAGCGAGCAATTCTATTGTCCGTTTGCACGTGCGTGCCCAACTGATTCATTCACGCTTACATCTTATGACCTATAAAGAGGCAGGCAAATCTGTCCGAGATTTGGTAATGTAGATGCTACTAGGTAAAAATATGTAGTGCGTCTCCAACAGGTGAAGGAAATGCATGTAGGAATGACAGGGATGGGTATTAGTGGCAAATAAAGGCACATTTCTCTCCCCTTCCTAGTGGACTAGAATAACAATCTCTATGCTCGATCTTCACAGTCGTTATTCCTGCCCTCGTATTGCCGGATCAATTCCTTTCCGTAATCATTCCCATTAGGTGTCCTCACAAGTGTGTGAATATGGAACTTTCGAGGCTCCTTGTTGGACAGAAAAACACCACTGTGATGATCAAACTCAAAAAGTATCACCGGTGAATGAATGCTATAGTAAAAAGCGTCATGTTCACCGAATTGACCAATCCAAGAAAAATAAGTCTCGTTCCAATATTCATCGATCTCAGACATGCGAGCTTGTAAAGCGCCCTCTGGTAGGTAATCCAGACTCAATTCTAGGATATTGCGGACTTGTTGCTGCTCCCAAGCCTGAAAATGCGAAACTAAGCAACCTTCGTAAGGAATAATCCGGTTATCTTGAAATGCGCCCCCAAGATGTCGCTGATCGGCACGATGATACCTCCAAGTTGGAAGGTTGGCGCAGTAAATGTCGGCCGAAACCTGGACGACAGCGCGCGTGGCTTCATCCATCGAAAATATCAGGCGCAGGCCGGCTTTCTCCTGTTGGACAAATAGCTCCGTTCCTTTGCCAGGGCCCTCATCGATGATGTTTGGTTCAGCGCCCATGAATATTGGAGTGAAAACCATCTGTTTCCCAATCACCATGCAGTTCAAACAGAGGTGGTGTCCATATAGCTGCCATCCCCAAGGCCCTTTGATCGAAGGGGTACCGAAGATGGCAAAATTGTAAGAGAGCTCGTTCAGAACATTCTCCCCACGGACCGCTTTACCGAGAAAGCCGTTGATCTTCATGCACCCGCGTACTTTTTCATAACCAGATGGTGACAGACTTGCCCGGAGCAGGCCATATATTGCCTGTACTATCTCGGTCTTGACTTCCTCCAAGCGTAACCCGTGGCGAAAAACGTATATTTCGGGGTTACTCCAAGATCGCCACTCTGGCGCATCAATTGGATAACTCATTCTTTCCCTGTCTGATTTGGAGAGCTTTGAGAGGAGATGTTTCGCTGCAATGCACATTTCCATAACAGGTGCTCCAAGATCCGTGCCTTTATCCGCAAGTTGATGAACTTCTTGATTGACTTCGCCATTGGATGAAATTCCCTGATATGGCTCATCGTAGAGGACTTTCCACTCTTGCATCCAGCCAATCATGAATGGGTCGGTGCAACGGTGGGCTGCCCACTGATATGTGTCGGAATTTGCGAGTTGCACACTCCTTGGGTTGTCGCTTGGGGGGATGTAATCACGAAAGGACTGATATTGACTCATATTCAATCAAAAATCCAAAAGTGATCGGAACGCCTGCGTCAAGAATAGATTGATGTATTGGGACGATCCCAACCTGGGAATATTTTGAGAATCTTATGCACAGTCAAATGTGGGTTCGGCTCCCATAAGAGCTGCCCACGAAAGCAGAGACCCCACATTCTCAAAGAAGGGGCCGGACCTTATTAGAACTACCATTTTCCTGATCCTAATGGGATCATACGATGGTTTTTTTGGCCTCGCAGCCCACTTCCTTAACTTAGCAGAGCACGAGCACTCACTATGTTTGACTGGGAAAACGACGTCTTCTTATCAACCTGGGATAAAAAGTATGTGACGACAAATTTACGACCGGGAAGCAAAGATTTTGATGCAGAAGGCTTTAAAGAGCTCCAAAAAGAGATTGATGACAGTGGTAATGTAACTGGGGTTTCTTATTGCATTCTTGTATGATATCCAACCCTCCTTAATTTTCGTCAAACTCTTGCGCTGATGCGAGCCCTTAGGCTGTCGTGTTCTGTGCTTTGAACCGTGCAGATGTAGTTGGCCGAATCTTTGATCAGATCACTGCAGATATGTCGCCTGAAGACAGCATGGAGACCTTTAAGCGCCTGAGAGAAGCCATAACGATCGTTTATCCTTTCTTGGGAATGCCATCCTGTATTCCAGCCTGTTATGGAATCATCGGAGTGATTCAGAAAAGGGGATCCCAATACGCCTCGGACGACAGGCTTCGATCCAGCATCATTACGCAGGAAGATTTGGACAAGGGAAAAGAGCTTCGACAACGCGTTTACCACGGCGTTGGTAACTCGGAAATCTTCCAGTTAATGGACAAGTATTTCGGTGATCTTTGTAGGTGAAGTGAAAAAAAAAAAACATCTCATAAAGCGATCAAGCGGTGCTGACGGTTCTAAGTTGCCTGCTCTACGGCCATAACATGGGGCTACTTGATCTCGAAGGCGAATGAACATGTATTCACCGAACAAGAATCACATCTTATCGTTGCTTCTGCCATTATAGCACTTGGCGCAGCGCGGCAAGCGAGGAGCCATATCAAAGCGACCATTGGACTTGGCAACGATGCACTAGTTGTTAAGTCCGTGGTCAATGTCGTGAGAAAACTTGCCAAGTGGGCTGACATCTCGATCGACCTGCCCAATGTCGATGAATGTGCGGAGGAATTGTATGTGAATATGAGGCAGCAACTGAAGTAGACTGGGGGGTTCAAGAAAGTGCAGAAAGCGATTGGAGTGTGTTAATTACGAAAATAGTATCATAACAAATATATTTCTCCCGTCTGATGGTCATTGAGCCTGGAACATGGATTCCACAATGTGCGATGAAGGTTTTCTATCTTCCTGTCCTGGGGGCCTTCGATATCAACGTTGATGATGGATTAATTTTATGGCACATATAATCTACCTGGGCAGCACACCACTCGCTTTGTTCACCAGCGCAAGCGCAACTAAATCCCCTTTCTCTTCTCATATTATTTTGTCCAAAGCGAAATATTGTTTACAAATTCGTGGGGCTAAACCCCACATTCTGTTTCTGGGTAGGAGTTGACGCTTATAGAGGGCTAGTTGCATCACTTTTTCTTAGACTGCAGCACAAGTCTAAATCAAATTTTGCAGTCCTCGAAATGTCTTTTACAAACCTTGTTCGATTCGAAGATGACCAAGGTGCTATACATTACGGCGATGTTCCAGAGGATTGCCTCCTAGATATCATTGGGTGCCGAGTACCCATTCTCGCCGGGGACCAATTTGAAGATTCACTTCAACTCACGGGTCAACAGGCGGTGGTCCACAAGGTATTAGTGTCTCACAATATGAATGCAAGTAGGGTGTGGAGATTTACCTCAAATCGACAGATCCTGCCGCCGGTTGACAGCGTGCCTGTTTTCCTTTGTATTGGGTTGAATTATGCCGAGCACGCGAAGGAAGCAAATGTATGGCATTGACATTGTTATTGCAGAGCATGATTTCTAACGAAGTGCCAGCTTCCAATACCACCAAGCCCGGTCCTATTCATCAAACCAGCCGGTTGGTCCTCCCCTGATTCTTCTATCACGATTGATCCCAGTACCTTTCCAGTATTGAGTTACAGGTCAACTGAAGAGGCTGTGTATACAGATGCTCTCGCCGGGCCGCATGATCAAATAGAAATACCACATCATGCCAAGATGCTGGACTACGAGGTTGGTAGATACTATCTTTATTTTTCTATTTGTATTGTTGCTAAACTCTTGCAACTTCCCCAGGGTGAGCTTTGCTTTATTGTGAAGCGAGACGCGAAGAATATTGCTGCCAGCCAGGCATTGGAGTACATACTCGGTTACACGGCAGGAAACGACATTTCGTCTCGGCTATGGCAGCGTCCTCCTTTGGCCGGTGGGCAATATTGTTATGCTAAGGGTTTCGACAAGTTCGCGCCTATTGGTCCGACGGTACGACACGCAAGAAAAATAACCATGGACAGCGTTAGTCTCCAGACGCTGGTCAACGGCAAAGAGAGACAGAGCACTGTAGCCAGCGATATGTTGTTTTCTCCCAGCAAGATTCTCGAGCATCTTTCCAGCGGCTGCACGGTGCGTAAAGGTACTGTGGTCATGACGGGAACCCCGAGTGGTATCGCCGGGCGAATGAAGGGAGAACCATGGCTGCGAGATGGCGATGTGGTGGAGGTCTGCATTAGCGGAATCGGCAAAATCACGAACCAAATTGTGATGCCCTGCCACAATCGATTATAACGATGGTCGATTGTCAAGGAATAGTTCCGTCGGGGCAAATTTGGCTATATTTTGGCACCCGGATCAAATAATTTCAAAATCAATAACGCATCACAGAGCATGACCAAAAGAGCCATTGGCTAAGGCCAGTAGATTCGTGCGTATCTAGCTTTCAACCAATGTTCTCGTAGTGATAAACTAGAGGCTCCAGTCGGAAAGATTTCCCAACGGAGCGATAACCGACGTGTTCTATTTTCGTACGATGGCCCTTCGGCGCTTTTCATAGTGCAGTAACCGGTCAGTCGTTTACTCTGCCGTCGATTGAGTGTCAAGTGTAACCGCCAAGTCCCGTAACCCTCATGATGGCACAGAAGGTTGTGATGTGGAAGAAGATGTTTCACTGTTCGCGCCCTTGAATTCGAGTCCTAATGGAGAATTGCGCCGCAAAAGTATTGAGGGTGGAATTGCAGGAGCTACTTACCCCAAGAGTGTGATGGGAAATTCCAGGGGTAAGTCTTTCCTTTTTAACCATTAGGGGTGAGCTAACTTTCCACCTGAGGTAAAGGTACGATTAGAAATTACAAAATGCCTCAAGGCCTACGAAAATGCCTTGATCATATTTGGCACGGAGCGTGAGACCCTAGAACAGCATAGTAAATATCTACTAGATATTGTTACGAAATACTAAGACGTTGCTGAACATGCCCTAAATTATGGAGCGTAAGACATGACATATCATTGATGGTGATTGATCAAGATGTATCTAAAAATCGATAAGATCATAGGATCACTTTAACATAATAAATCAGATATATCAGTCTGTATTATACATCATTTACTATGTAACTAGAAGCCAACTCAAATGTCTGGCTGAGCGCGGCATCCTTTGGATAGAGTTCTCTATACCTGGCTCACATGCCGATGTGATGCCGATGTGGTGGTCAAATGTGGGGAGCCAATCGGCGTTAGTGAAACATACTTTGTATGGCGAGGAGAAACCCCGGTTGTTCAAGGTTAAATCGAAAACGATAGGTTGTAAATTCCAGCTCAAGGATTCGGTCGGCGCTTGACAGCAACGCCCTGCTGCAAGGTTCATTTTTGCCAGCGCGAAAAATATTCCCCTAGCCTAGTTATTGCCTGAGGGACACAACTTCTACTCGGTATAGGTAATTCGTTGGCGATACGTCACAACAGCCCAACAACATCTCCAATCTTATCCGCCAAAGGTGGACACACTACTCTCTGTCCAACAAGTCTCCCAATCCGGATTCCAAGATGACCGGGACTGCGCAAGGTATCATTCGCCAAAGTTCAAGCTCAATCAATGACTCCACCCATGGGTGCTTGTGTCGTCGTCTCGGCATAAAAGGATTGTTGTATCGTGTGGCGTTCTATGGGTTATGAACCTTGTAAGAGAGGTACAGAGCTAACCGTAAATGTGACTTGGTAGGGTTATCGTTTCCCTTTTTGGCTATAATATCTAGTTTAGTCAGCTAGATATTGTTTGGATATCGCCACATAGCCCACCAGTAGTCCGTATCAGAGTCTCAAAACAATACCATAAAAACTGGAGCTTCAATAACCGACCAACCGAAAACTGGGGTCCCCGCAACCCCTAAACCAGCTCCAAACTCCACTCCGGAGGATCCGGACTTTCCATCCCTGCAACCTGCCTTCTCTCATTAATCTTGCGAACAGCTGAAACAGATATCCATGCACAACAAGGTTATATCCTTGGCATACGCATGATTCCGGTACTAGCTAAACCGACCTAACCTACATCCTTCATAGAATGGCCGACGCTGAAGAGAAATGGCGCAAATGCGCATTTTGCGAGCGACGGTTCGCAAAGGTCGAACACCTCAAGCGACATCAGAGATCACGTATGTAGTCTCTCCCTCAGTCACTGTGGGTTGACGCTGATGTTTTGCAGACACTGGAGAAAAGCCGTTCAAATGCCCTAAGTGCGATCAACGATATGCGCGAAGGTATGTGTATACTGAGAACTCATAGCTATACAGGTGACGCTGGACTTCGCTAATGGACACATCACTCGCAGTGACGTTCTGGCGAGACATATACAGAATCACCCAAGGAGAACGTACCGAAGCAGAGTGACCAAGCCGGTTCCTATTACAGGGACCAGCCAGCAATCCACTTCGATTTCTGTAGACCATGTTCGACGTGATAGAAATTCGCAACAAGCAGGAATATTAGCACCTCTCACGGCTATCAATAACCCAGACAGTGATGCGAGAGTGCAGGACAACACATCATCTACCAGCAATTCTCCGGTTGATGCAATCTATGAACATATGTCAACCTCAAATATTGTTCTCCCCGTGGATGAATGGCTTTCAGCTCCAACAAAACGGGTAAATGGCAAGGGCGAACGCTTATTCGTCCCCCAACAGATGGAAGAGTCCAATGTTTGTCATGGTCCTGTAGCAGAGGACTCCCCAAACTACGACTCTTCTTCATTCATACACTATGCTCCACTTCTGGATCAGTCGATAGTCCACTCATGGCCATTATCTACTACATCGTACCCTTGCTACGACCCCAGTGACATCGATCTGAATGTTGCATTCACCGGAGCCAACGTGTTATTTGAAAGCACCGGTCAGCCTCTGGAGGAGGGACCTAGTCCGTTCGTGATAGAATCCCCATCCCTAGGGGTGCCGGTGATACATAGTAACGCACCCAAAGAAACGGAAGACCCCCGTGAATCACTGGGACTTGATTCACTGAAACGCATTGAGCAGATGTGGTCCGGCAAAGGAATTTCTCAGCCGGCGCTTCTCGTTCGGACATTATGGGACGACGTTACAGAGCACAAAGCGGCTAATATCCTCTCCGACCCTGCGGAGCATGTTAATTTGCCCTCAAATCCTCCTTCAGAGCATAGATCTGAATGCGGGATGAATAGCAAAATCACCGAACGGTGTCGGGAAAGGCTCTTAGTATTTCACAGTCTGACTCAAACCCCTCCAGGAATAGCGCTGGCTTCAAATGTGCCGTCGCCTTCTAAGTCTCAACAAAGTGAGCTTTCCTCTAGTCTAGCAACCGGGCCATGCCTCCCGGACCTTCCGGATATAGAATTTCCTTCAGTGGAAGTACTCGATTTGAGCCTGAAGTTCTACTTCCGGCACGTCCATCTGTCTTTGCCCTTCATACATCGGCCCACTTTCAATGCCTCAGAGACACCATGTTTGCTCCTGTTGCCGATGATCTTAATCGGGTTTTCGATTCTCGATCCATATGGCTCAAAAGCCTTTGTCTCACGCTCCAGGGCGGTATGTCTTCCAGATGGTTAGACTGAGCAACTGACAGCTTTTATTAACTGTGAACTCTGTCCGGCAGTACCTTATCGAGTTGTGTCGAGCAGACCTGGCCTGCAAAGCTCGCGGAAAATCGGGCTCCCCATCGGGATTGATCCGTTCTCTAGCATCCTCACTTCTAGTTTTGTACCTCAATCTGGAAAGTCAGGTAAGTTGCCTTCATCGTGATTATCAACACTATGAAAAACAGCTTTTAATGGTACAGATAGAACCACGAAGAAGAGGCCGCTTTTATGCTTTGTGCCCAGACTTTACATGTAACAGGGTCATTGTATCGATGGAACACAGAGACTAACCGTTTTGTATAGATCGCCGAAAAGCATGGCTTATACGAGATGCACCATAAGCAGGACCTCATTACGAACCTTCTTACAAAAACTTCTGATAGTGAGAGTTATTGGATGCTGTGGGCAAGGATCGAATCTATCAAAATGTAAGTGTAACAATTCCGACATTTGGGTTGCCATCTAAGCTGACTCTCTGGCCTAGGCTGGTATTATGCTTGGTGCGTATGGATACGGCTTATGCCCGCTTAATGGGTACCAACGGGGTCATTGATCCCAACCAGGTCAAGGTCGTCCTCCCCGTAGACAATGTTCTCTTCGATTCACCCAATGCGGATAAATTCGTGGAGGATGTGAAGATGGCAACAGCCGTCCCTATGCCCGTTATTCACATGCGACATTTTGCGGAAAGCGCCCCTAAAAGTGGAGTGATGAACGGATTCCTTCTGCGAGTGGTCTTGGATCACATCCATATCCGCGTCTCCAGCGCTCAGGTTCGGATCTTGTCCGCCGCGGACGATAACGTGCCGCAACTCTGCGATTTTGCACCAGCCAGCCTGTATAACCCGTCTGCGGAAGTGAAAGACATTAACCACCAGCTTGTTGCTATATCGAGGAATTACGCGAGTTTGCTTCAGCCGCCTGCTGACCCTCTCTCCCCATTGTCATGGAATTATCTATGCATGATCATAACCGCTCCAGTCGAACAGTTGGAGCTAGCAATCGGTCGCCGCGGCCCACAATGTGCTCCAAAATCCCGTGCTGCTATTGAGGTGTGGTCCAAGTCACCAGCCGCCAGGCGGGCGGTTTTGCATGCTGCCCAAATATGCTACATCCTCACCTTCGGCGCACACCCGCCGTTATCCTCAGCGGAGAAGAAATTGCTGCGAGTCGAATCAATGGTTTTCACCTCGGCCTTGGTACTTGGTCTGTACTTTTCCACGGAAAGAACATATATTTCTTCTTTCAGACTGGCCGAAGATAGCAATCCACCCAGTGCGTTGGAACTCTTGCAAGATATTGACTGGGCTATCGTCAATGGCGAGGGATTTGCAGAGGACTGTGATTGGACCTTGGCTCTCCACAATACTGAGCGATCTACCTCAGCTCAGTTTGCAGGAGTCCAAGCCAGGGACTTTATTCGACATGGCGAGCTACCACTTTCCTTTGATGGTAAATCTCAATTGCAAGGCGTCAAAATGGCCGCCAGTGTTTTTCAGGAGTATGCCTATATTCTTGATCAACTTGGTGGGTCTGCTGGGTCTCATGGATCTGGGAGTGACTTTGCAAATATAGCAAGATCAGTTAGTGATATTCTGGCGTCCTGAAATGTGAAGGGGGAAGTAATGAGGAAGTAATAGCTACTCCTTTACTGCTCACCATGGTGTGAACTGGCTAGGACGATTTCTGTGATGTGGACAGTGATCCATCTATGATAAATGTACATCATATTATGTCAAATAGGCTCGGGGGGGAAATGAGCAAAGAATATCACAAGCAGTGAGTGGTTATGTACTGATCTTAATGTATTGCGTGTCTCTGTGTGCGTTGTCAGCATTTATGCCGCGGGTGACGGTTTAGATATGGGGAGTCGTCAGGTACTGTCTGATAGCAACAAGTCACAATGCCAAGTTTTTCCGTCTGGCATTACTTAGCTTTCTAGTAAGCACGGTAAAATAAAGAAGCAGCGAATATCTCTTTTCTCTGCCGGTTTGATACCATACTTGCCTTGCCTCACACGGCACCCAAGCCCCTCAAAACGTTAGGACAGTCCACATATCGGTCAAAATTATACAGATTACTAATATGTGAGCAAGATCGAAAATAACAGGGTTTTAATTAGACCTCACCGTAGCCCTACCCATGGGCCCTGGAGGTGGGGGAGGAGGTGACATCCATAGCCCGCCCACGACAGCCCATGCACAGCCCAGACAGAATGAAGTCGTGTAGATCTAAAAAGACAATTTGGTTGAGCAGAAATAAACATAGATCTATGGCTATTTACCTATCTCGAAAAATTGTCACAGAATCGCCGGTTAGCCGTTGTATTGTTCACGTGCGCGGGGAAGCGCCTTTCGCTAACAGGCCTTATAAGGGGTAGCGACCGCTGTGATGCCGTAACTTTTGTACATCAACGCCTCTATTTATTTAGGATATCTCGGAAAGTACCAATAGGCAAATAATGTGTAGCATATGTTTGACTGTAAGCTCATTGATGAGGCGTAAGAATGTGGGGAACTAATCGGATGTTTTATACAGCATGGACTACACTACCGTTGAAATGTCTACAGGCGATGTAGCCATGTCATGTAAAAGCCTGGAGGCACGCGGCCGTTACTTAGCCATATGTGGGTTTCTGGAATGATATTAAATCCTGGATATCACTTAACTATCAAGTTTAGCGCCCCATGTTCACTTTCCTTGAAATTCCTCCTGCAACCGAAGACATATATTGACATCCCCACCCCCTTCCTCCAACTAGGATGACAATGTTGGTACAATTTATTGATATAACCCCCCTGTATCGCTTTGCTGCTCCCCTTTTACTAGTGGCCTTGATTGCCTGGCTTCTCCACAACAAATATGGCCACGGCATCAATTCAATCCCAGGCCCGTTGGCGGCTTCTGTTACCAATCTATGGAGATTGGCCTTGGTCACAGGGCGCCGACCAGAACTGGAGCATATAAAATTACATCGAAAATACGGCAACATCGTTCGTCTTGGTCCTAATGTTGTCTCAGTGTCGGACCCAAATGCTGTTAAGGTTATATACGCAATAAATGCGGGATTTGTCAAGGTATCAAGTGAAACTACACATTTCCTAATAGCAATCCCCTCGTTATGTACTAAAGGTTCATCAGTCACACTTCTACACCGTCCAGAAGCCCATTGCACAAGATGGGACTCCCCTTGAAGGCCTGTTCAGCACTACAGATGAGAAATACCATGCAAAACTGCGGAGAGCAATATCGAGTGCGTATGCCATGAGTACACTGGTCCAGTTTGAGCCTCTAATGGACTCAACAACAACCATATTCCTCAACCAACTTTCAGCACGGTATGCAAATAAAGTCAACCCGGATGAAGTATGTGATCTCGGTGCATGGCTTCAGTATTACGCCTTCGATGTGATCGGCGAACTTACGTTCTCAAGACGACTGGGGTTTGTGGATCGTGGAGTTGATGTTGACGGCATCATTCATGACCTTGAGAAATTGTTAAATTACTTTGCTTCGGTATGATATTGCGCTCTCTAACGGATTGTTTTTATGATCGATTTTTGGAGCGCCTGCTGACGTTGTGGGATTATAAGATCGGACAGATGCCTGCGCTACACTTTTTCTTGCTCCTCAACCCCCTTCGAGTCTTCTTGGGTCGACTTGGACTGTTCAACTCATCCTCCCCAGTCGTGGCCTTCGCAAGGAGATGCATGGCTGATCGCTTCGATCCGAAACAACTCCATTTGTCAAGGACAGCGAAGGATGATAGCACCAGACCTTGCGACTTTCTTTCACGATTCCTAGAAGCTGGACAAAAAGACCCAGAGTTTATGACAAGAGATCGGATTCTAACCATGACGACAGCGAACATGTTTGCCGGATCTGACACAACCGCGATCACACTGCGGTCCATCTTCTACTACTTACTCAAAAATCCAAAATGCATGCAGCGTTTGATGGAAGAACTGAAGTATGAAGAACAAGCGGGCCGCTTCAGCCGCGACGACGGGCTCCTATCATGGAATGAAGTACGAGGCCTACCGTATCTTGGTGCGGTAATTAAGGAGGCACTCCGGTGCCACCCTGCTGCTGGCCTCACCTTAGAGCGGGTTGTTCCTCCAGCTGGAATATCAATTAATGGACATTTCCTTCCAGGGGGAACAATCGTCGGCTGCAGCCCCTGGACGGTGCATCTTGACGAGTCTGTTTTTGGGCATAGGCCAGATCAGTTCAGGCCTGAGAGATGGCTGGACATGCCAAATGATAAAGTAGCAGAGATGAACAACACTCTATTTACATTTGGTGCCGGTTCCCGGACATGTATTGGGAAGAACATCAGCCTGCTAGAAATGCATAAACTGGTTCCTACGGTTTTGCGGCGGTTCGAGGTATGCGTAGACTCCTGGAAAGATTACTTCCTAATTTTATTTACCCAATCAATTATAACTGATGCGTTGGACTTTCTAGATCACACTTGCAAACCCCGAGGAGCCTTGGAAATTGCACAATGCTTGGTTCGTGAAGCAAAGTGGGCTTTATGTCCTGCTGAAGACAAGAACAGGAGAGGCTTCATGAAAACAGTGTTCACTACCTAGGGTAAGCCCTATGTCAATATTAGTTTCCTAGAGTCGCAGCAGGCACCATCAATTCAAACTGAAATCTATTTCATCTACAGGCTTTGTCGACAAACATGTTGTAATCTGTAGTACAGCTAGTTATCCAATACTTCGCACAAGGAGAATGAATCCCAGATTTAACATACACATTATGACCAATATAGGATAAAGGCCTGATAATGTCGGTTTTTACCCCAGATGTCTCGAGACGAGCATGGGATATCCACGGCCCCCACATTTTTCGTCCCAGAACATGAAGCCCATAATGTGGGTTCCAGCCGACTGGTTCCTACCCAAAGACAAGGACCCTCAAGGTTATACTAAATGCTATTTACTTCCACATATGATATTAAAAAGCATTCTAGATTCAGATTCGTCAATCGTATCACCACCGATATACAACCGTCATCTATTTGGCTTTCGGACCGAACTGTCCCGTAGTGATGAGTTTGAGACCCAGTCTGAAACATGCCCCACGGAGCGATAATCGACGTGTCCTATTCTCGTCCGACAGCCCCTCTGGTCCTCGCTGTAGAGGGTGGCCCCACCGATCAGTTCTTTACCCTGTCATCGGCGTAAGGCTAGATGCAACCGCCAAGTCTCTTGTCATCAATGTTCCTGGCGAGGAAAACCATCCTTGTGTTCGTATATGCCGCGAACGCGATCGGAATTTTGAACCAACTGCAAGCCTCGAAATAACACGACCGAAGCGATGGTAAAATCGACTATTCAACGTTTTCGGATTCCCCTAACGTGGGCGCTGTAGCGCCCCCCAGTCAGTAGACCGTGTCGATATCTTGTTGCTTCCCACACTGCTTGATGGAATTGCGTGATCTGGGGAAGCCTTGGGGTGAATGAAGTCAATGGAATTGGTATCTTTCTATGGTAGATTCTCTTGTTCGCAGCCTTCAAACAGAGTAGACCTTTCTGGATAAAAGCCCAGTTTTCCGATATACTTTACTACATCGACAAAGTAGGTTACTCTAGCAGGAATGTGGTCCGTATGACCTTCAAGGGTACTAGTAACTGTATCTAGCAAGTCTCGTCCGCAACTTTGCATCATGATGCAAGTCCTATATCAGCTCTGTCTGAGATACCACCCCGCACTCTTGCCGACACCTTTGTGTCATGCTATAGGGACACGTTTCATCGAGTTTGGCCAATCTTGCACATGCAATCATTTCCGTGGTAATATGATGCACATGGCCGATATGGAGGTTATTGCAAATACCAGCTCCATTCTGTTCTGAATTATGCAAATGACATTTCAATGTTGACCTAGGCCGGTGGAACTTGGCGTTTAGTAAATGTGGGGTTTACTGTAAAGCGCCGCTTGGCCCAGAGGAGAAACCGTAATATCTGGCATGAGATTGCTTGAGGTTTCTGTCTCTACAAAAATGATAAATAGACCTCGCTATTGTGAGTCGTTGTGAATTGGCTCTTCTAGGTCCATTAGCCTTCTTTTATATGCATACATTGAAATAACGGTCGCCCATTTAAATGTCCCTACGAATTGTTATCTAGAATGCATCCAGTCACATATACTCCACATTAATGCCAAGGCCCCACTATGATTGAAATATCGAGACTAGGGTGTGGTAGTCCGGGGTTAACTCGTTTGTGGCTGAACGCGGGGTATGAGCATGCACCAAACCGTATAGACACGTCTTGGGGTTTATATAGACCGATAGTATGGTCGTTTTCGGTGCCATCAAAGTCGACCCTTCTTGTTTAATTTCCCTCTCAATTTCGTACACCAAATCTTCGAACAACGTCCTACACGATGTCTTCTATGTCTGGGATCAAACACGTGGAAACCCTCCATGAAATGGATCGCATTCGCACCAATGCCAGCGTCACTATACCAAGTGACCTTTTCGAAAAAATGTACCTGAGTCCGGAAATTGCCGTGAAAGGTCAACTTCGCAAGACCATGGCGAATCCTACGCCTACGTAAAGTCTCGTTCTGCAGTACATGCCGACCTTTCCTGTTAACACTGATGATAGGGGATTAATGGGATTTTTAATCGCAACAACACCAGTTTCTTGCAACCTCATGGGATGGCATGGCTCTGGGGGCGGCGGGGCAGCATTAGTGTAAGTAGAGGCCCACCCCCAATTGTTGTGAGAATGAAGTATTAACTCTGCCATGCCAAGTGGCACGATTTACATTTTTGGGGGTGTTCTCCAGACAATCGCTTTCTTAATGGAGTGGATTTTGGGAAATACCTTTTCATCGATGGTTTTTGCTTTTTTTGGTCAGACCCTTTCTACTCATTGGCCACCTTTTTGAACTGATGTCTTTCTCTTGATAGGGGCATTCACCTTTAGTCTAGCTATTACGCTCACACCATCAGCAAATGCGCAAGGGGCCTTTACAGCAAACACCTCAAACGCATCCGAACTTGCTGCTGGTATGGCAGAGTTTAAGTCTAGCTTTGGTCAGTTGTTGATTTGTTGAAGTGATTTGACATGCGCTTACACTATGTCGAGTAGCGTTCTTTTACATATGCTGCGCCGTCCTCGTCGTAATGTTCACCATTTGTTCGCTTCGAACTAACATTGTTTTCTTCTTTATGTTTCTACTTCTTGGACCAGCATTGATTTGCCTTGCTTGCGCATATTGGTCATCCGCCGATGGCAACAACGAGCGCTCACAACGCTTTGAAAAGGTAGGACTTCTCACTCGACCTACATCTTAATATCAATTGACTAAGTTCCTCAACGGGGCCAAACAGGCTGGAGGTGCTCTTCTATTTGCTATTGTTATTCCTGGATGGTATCTTCTTCTCTCACAAATGCTTGTTGCCATAGACTTTCCTTTTTCATTACCGATCGGAGATCTGAGTACTAAGATTCGTGGTGCGTCGGTCAATAAAGGAAGAAATGGGGAGGCCGTTTGAAGCTGCGAGGTCCATTAGCTTGTCGAAATGATTTCTCTCTGCTTTTCGAGTTGTTTTTGGGGTGTTAGTACACCCACTGCTCCCCCTTCACTCCTTTCACTACCCGCCCCTTACTCGATTGTTCTGGCCACTACGCCTAGATAGTCTTAGCTTGGAAATGATTCACCTTGTTTTCCACCGTTTCCAACACTTCTTCTTCATTCGTGAGCGCTGTCGTGGGACTGGTCGCGGACGACAGGCAGGGCAGGAGATTGCGGGACGTGGAGGCGTGGTTCTCATCGCAGACTTGGGTTGGATGATGCTGCAGACCAGTCAGCGCAAGATGCAGAATAATATAGATGGACTTATATTGATGGAGTGGATGCAAGAAGCTTAATCGTACGAAAAGCGAGCCATTTTTCCTTCATATGAACCTCTAGGCTTACTACCAGCCCTGGGGAGTTGCTGGGCACGTAAGAGAAACCAGCAGGATCAACTCTACGAGTAGAACACCTGCTTAGACCTCCAAAACCTATCTTTGGGTAGCATGTAGATCTTACAAATTAATGTCTTATTCAATAAGCCTCGCCGATAGCGGGTGATATCGCAAGCGGAGCTAAACAAACGCTCCATGCCCACGCTAGTGGCTAGAACTAAGAAAATATCTTTGTGATGTATAGACCCGCTAGAATTGATAAGAGCCTTAATACCTTTCCTTGACCCAGTGCTTCTACAGAATCCTATCATGTTGCTTTTGGCTAGGCTCGGGTACACGAACTCTTTCCTCGCCAGTACTGAGATTTGCGCAGAATCGAACGGCTTCTCCGCTGGACGCAAAAGTCAAAAGTTCAGAAGACGCTACCGCGGAGCTCAGCAGCATATCATGTCGTGAGTTCCTGTCGCGGTTCTTGAAGCTAATGAGAAAGACCTCGACTTCATCGGCAGTGACCGCCCCGGCCTTGACGGTAGTCAACATGGTTACGGGGTTTAGACACCACCGCAATTCGACTTCGAGCCGTCTTCTACTACTTGTAATTTTAAACTGCGCCTGTGAGAATGCGAGGGAAGGGGCCGGAGGGGGAGCAGGGCAATGACCGTGTAATTCCCAGCATCGAAAACTCCGTGAATCGACGGCAATGCCTAGGATTACTTTTGCTGATGAAAGGCTCTAGGCAAACCGCTTGCGCCCCGGCTAGGTAATGGGATCGTCCCTCCTTTGGCTGCAACTCAACACGTGTATCAGCTGCCCTGTGGTTAAAATTACGTAGGTATTCTCAATTTATTGTGCTAACTATGGGAATCAGCTTGGAGTTTGCGGCGTACTTCGTATTAGTCTCATGTCATTTCATACTTTGCAATATTACTCATTCCAATATATGAGACAGTTAAGCTATACCATACATCACTTAGGGTACAGGTTGAAGAAAAGAAAACAATGATAGACAGATTTGGTTTGGTGCAACATAATCAGCCCGCTGGAATACGTGGGCGATAAATCTTGGGTACCGCAAAGGAAACAGGTCAAACTGGGTGAGCTTTGAAGGTAAGCAGATCCAGAATAAAAGCCAGTCCACCTAGAAAGCAGAGAGGGAGGTAGATGGGGAGGTGACAGCAAACTCCCTCGAAACCCTTTCTCGTGTCCCCCACATTTTGCCACAATCCACCCTGCTCCTTTCTTCCATCAATATGTGGGTTGTCTCGGAAATAGTGAAAACAGGACCGAGATGTGGAAAATAAATAGATGGCTAAGCTTATACATCTCATGGTCTTCTGTTATCCCTTCATTTGACATCAAGTACGGCGATCGTCTTGTCTTGTAGCAAACTCTCCATTTTTCTATTATTGCTGTCACTTTCTGTCAACATGGTCCCCAAAATAGTCCTTATTACTGGTGCTACTGGAACCCAAGGTAAATTTTCTCCTAATTTACATGGGGACAAACAAGCTCATGATGCGGTTTCTACCAGGCGGAGCTGTGGCCAGGATCCTTCTGCAGCATCCCGACCAATACATCGTCCGCTGCTTAACACGGAACCCTGAATCAGACAAAGCTCAAGCGCTAGAAACGCTCGGCGCTGTGCCTGTTCGAGGAGATTTGACCGTTCCTTCGTCACTTTCCGTGCCACTAAAAGGGGCTTGGGGAGTCTTTGGTGTCACGGATTTTTATGACACGGTATTGACTCCTTTCTATATAGCTAAGTAGGCTCGTGACTTACTTCTCTTCTTTTTTCTTAGAATATTCTCGACGATCCACTCAGTGAAGAGCAGCAAGGCCGGAATCTTGCAAAGGCCGCGGCTGAAGCAGGCGTGGAATGCTTCCTGTGGAGCACCTTGCCAAGCTCTTCCGAAATATCTGGAGGCCAGTTTATAACTCAACTGTATGAGGGTGAGCAAAAATCTTTCTTTTTTGTCCACCTGGGTCAAACACTGAATGTTCTATTCAGGAAAGCACAATGTGGACGCGTACATCCGTCAAATTGGCCTGCCCGGTGTCTTCATTTTCACAGGCAACTTTTATGAAAATATGATCACTCGAAAATACGTTTCGTATGATCCGCATACCGACAAGATTACCATGAGACGTCCGATCTTGAAGCCCGATGCATCGAGTAAGATATTCTTCTCCAATGTTTAGGTTGGACTCGAAGGCTAACCACTTCGTTGCTTCTGAAAGTCACCACCCTTTATGTGGAAAAGGACCTCGGTGCCGTCTGTAAGGCCGTATGGGACCAGTGGGACGACAAGAAAAACGGGCTAGATGGAAAATACCTACTCGCCGCAGGCGCGCACGAAACCCCACGTTACATGGCGCAGGTGTTGGAAAAAGGTATGATGGCAGCCCCGTCAATTGTTTCTTCTGGCTAAAACTGACTTTGATCTTTTAGTATCGGGTAAGAAAGTTGAGTACAGTACTTTGCCGACTACCGGGATCCCCGAACGAGATATCATGCTCAATCTGTACAATGCTGTGGGCATGCATCCCAACCGTACTCTCCCTACAGAGGAGATCCAAGCCTTGGGATTGAACTTGCACACGGTTGATTCCTATTATCGACAGCGGCTACTGCCTCACTTGGGTCTACCCAGTGTCAACTGAGACGCGCTTCAAGCTCCTGGCTAGGAGTTAGAATTTGTGTGCCCGACATCAATTTGTACTTAAAAATGCTGCAGTTGTAGCTAACACAGAGCACGATGGACCTTCCTGAAGCTCTGTCTATGCTTTTTGAATATCTTTATGATTGCATCTTTACGAGACGATGTCGACGTTGTAAGGTACTGTAGTTTGAAAACATCACCCGAATTTCGCAGTATTGCGCGGGGGCTTCCCTTCAATTGGAATAATGTTGCCCTTAATATGCATGCATTAGAAACAGTACGTATAATGGAGAATAGACGGTTGTATCATTAGTAAGGGACGATTCTTCTCTGGTGAATCTCTCCCAAAATCGTTCTCTTTGTCTTGGCCTTCCTTTTGATTTTAAATCAGATCAAATGTTTCACCTCTTCACCAAGACTAAATCCCATCCCCACCCCCGGCCGCCAAACCCAAACCATCAAGTGCCGATTTGTTGAAGCGAAGAAGTGATTATTAGGCAGGTCTTGTTCCAACCTTGGGAAGGTTTTTGACTGTTGCCGCGCAGCCGAGATCTCAAGCTAGTTTCGGAGATAAGCTCGGCTACTCGTGCCGAGTGGAGAAACCTAGAATGTGGGATTTCCTACTTCGACTCTTCACCCCAGATCCTTCTTCCCCACATTATTATTCCAGCAGCAAGGGCAAAGGTGGCGAATCGGGCGCATTGTCTCTGATTGACTCTTTATTCCCGGCCCCACGAATCTAATTTTTATGGGTGTTACAGTTCTTGTTGAAGCAATGAAGCACCCGAAATGGCTGCTATAAGAGGCAGCATTACACCATTATACCTCAACCAATTCACTTTATTCAACGCATCGTATACGAATCCTTCAAAATGTCGAATCACCAGCCTAAAGTGGCATTCGTGAGCGGATGCAACGGAATCAGCGGCCATGCCATTGTTGAGCACTTGGTGCGGCAGCCTGATAGTGAATGGTTTGTCTACTTACGCAACTGGTTTTTGTAGACAAAGCTGACTTGAGCGGTGTCAAGGTCTAAAATCATTGTGTCCTCGCGCACTCCGTTGGTTCACTTCTGGTCGGACCCTCGCGTTCAGTTTGTTGGGGTGGACTTTATGTGGCCCCATGAGAGAATTGTGGAGAAACTCGCCCCTGTCTGCTCCCTTGTTACGCATGTCTACTATACGGCGTACGCCCATTCCAAGGATTTCAAATCTTTGTCGAAAATCAATGTTCCCTTGTTCCAGAAGTTCATCGACGCAGTTGATGCTGTTTGCCCGAAGTTGCAACGAGTTTTGATGTACACTGGTGGAAAGGTAGGCATTTCACATATTCAACTGAAAAAATGGGGTTCTTGAGAATTGGCTAATGCGCTGGTTCCTTAGTATTATGGTGCACATCTTGGGAAGTTGACGGCACCTGCGGAAGAATCGTCCCCAAGATACATCGATAACGGAGATAACTTCTATTACAACCAGGAGGACTACTTGGTTGAAGTACAGCAACGCAGGAAGCAATGGAAGTACAACGTGATTCGTCCCACTGGAATCATTGGCTTCATTCCTCACGGTTCGTTACTCGTATTGATCTTTCTAAGTCTTATTACTCACGAGTACACTTATGCAGCCAATGGAATGAGCGAAGCACTCTCGGTTGCCGTTTACTTTTTGCTTTGTCGCGAATTGGGCTTACCTGCTCATTTTCCCGGAAATGAGTTTCTTTGGGAAGGTGTGGACGATAAATCTTACGCTCCTAGTATCGCAGACCTAGCTGTCTTCGCATCTACCCACGACCACTGTTCCAACCAGATTTTCAACCATACCAATGGTGATGTGATTGTGTGGAAAAATTTCTGGCCCAAGATTGCCCAGTACTATGGATTGAAGGTACAGAAACCTAGCTTCGCACGAACCACGTGGTAATCTATACTGACCTACTTCAAGACACCTACTCCCAGGTTTGAACAGGCCCGTGGCCAGTCCAGCAACCTAATTGTTGAGTTCAATGTGCAAGAATGGGCCGATGATAAGAAACCGGCCTGGGAGCGAGTGGTTCAGAAATACGGTGGCCGAAAGGATGTGTTTGACTGGGTATCATGGGATCATTGGAACTGGGCTCTGGGACGAGCGTGGTCTACACTCCTCTCCTCAAATAAAGCGCGTGCGTATGGATGGACGCGCTTTGATGATACTTATAAAACTTGGCTAGACACGTGGACAATACTAGAAAATGCCGGAATCTTGCCCAAGCCCCAACCGCTTGGGGAGATTTAGCTCAGTGCCTACGCATTTAAGTACCTATTATCATGCAGAAATTTCAACACTGAATATATTTTTGAAGTCAAATGTGAAATTGTTTTGATTCTATGTTCCAGGCTCAAATTTAGTATGAATTGTTCAATTCCGTTTGGCTGCAGCCTATTGAAATTATCTTGAAAATGTTAGCACATTTCCACCATTTCCTAGACAATTCTCGCCTTCTTTGTTCCTCATCAAGTTGCGAAGTTGTATTTGTTCTCATCTCAAAGGAGCAGGACTTGAATCTGAAGAAAATGGACGTTTCCTTTGTATTTGTAACAGACGAAAAACCAACTAGAAAACGACCTCCCTAGCTTTTCAAATATGGGCAAAATATGTCTCTATTTTGTTCGTTATCTTGAGTGCAAAGATTGTTTTGTTCTTGACCAAACGTTTGCCTTTGTTGGAAATACTGACATGTCTACGTTGCGCTATTGCTCTTTCTTTCACTCGAGGTCTTAGCCCCTCTCTTCGAAGCTTCTTCTCCCCACAGTGGGCTCCAAATTTGTTCAGCCACGGAGCTTAAGGTGACGTAAGCAAGGAAATGTGGGGGGCGAGTAAGATTCATGCAAGTGTTGTGACCCGACGTGTGGGAAAGCATAAATAAATCACCACCATTCAGTTCGGCTTTTCCAGCTCTGTATATTCCAGGCATCTTCTTTCTTTATACTTATTTAAAATGGCGGACACATATCTCGACTTTATTCGTCAGAGGCGGACGTTTTATTCTCTAACTAATACCTCGCCTGTCTCCGACGAACGCATTGTGGAAGTTGTGCGGGAGGTTGTGCGCCACAGTCCAAGTTCTTTCAATGGACAGACCTCTCGAGTTGTGATTTTACTTGGAGATGAGCACCTCAAATTGTGGACAATCGCTCTGGAAGTCTTGAAATCAACCTTCCCAGCACAGAGCTGGGATGTGTATGAGAAGAAGTTAAACGACCGGAAAGCGGCCTATGGCACTGTACGTAGAAACCTTTAACCTCGTCTCGGGTATTTATTCCCGCTTTATCTCTTCTATCACTGAACATATTCCAACAGCTTTTGCTTTACGAGGATCAGGCGGTTTTACCGTCTCTCCAAGCCAAGGCACCACTATTCAAGAACCATGTCAGCCAGTTCTCGGAGCACAATAATGCAATCCTAGCTGGTAATCTGTGGACGGTACTGGAGTTAGCTGGGTTTGGCGCCAACTTACAACATTTTAACCCTTTTATCGATGCCAGGGTTACGGCGGAGTGGGGTTTGCCATCGCAGTGGGCATTGAAAGCTCAGCTTGTGTTTGGAACACCGGTTGAAGGACCCAATCCTGATAAGCAATATGGTAATTTAGATGAGCGAATTTTTGTGTTCGGAAAGCAATAAGTTGGGTCACTAGGAGACTGGGTTATTTGCGAAATTCCATATTTGTCTACTTGATCTAGAAATTCTATGTGTTCTGCAAATGTTTCCAGTGACATATCTAACCAAATATCACTAGACGGAGAATGCAAATTAGTATCTTTAGTTCTCAGACCGTTTTTAATTATTTTCATGGGTTCAGGAAGTGAAGCACATTATCTGGAACCGCTCATAATTCTGTTATCTAATAAGGACGTGTAGTTCGTTGACCCTTCTTGCCGTGTCAACATCTGCTATGCTGTTAATAGGATGCAATCGACGTTTATGAATCCCGATAATGGCCTAGACTGGCCAGACATACCGTTTGGTAAATGTGGGGCATTAAGCGCCACTTGGTCCATTCTTTTTTGCGGGGCAAAGGTCGTAATGGAATATTCCCTATAGCTTCTATATTGCCTTATACGATCCGAAATGAGATTGAAACTTTTGTCTATAAAAAATGGTATCTAGGACTCGTTACTCACAGTCGTTGTGACAAGGCTCTTCTATGTTCAATTTTCTTTTTTAGCGGCCTTCTTTTAAACGCAGATTTTGAACAACGTCGCCAATCTGAATGCTCTTAAGAATTGTTGTTATCTTGGCGTTACAATTAGTTACATACATCCACGTTAATGCTAAGGGTCCAATATGATGGGAAACTTGGAAACTAGGGCGAGGCAGTCCTACACTGGTTTGCTGAAATCATGTAAGCAGGGGCCAGCCGTTAGCTCGTTCGTGGCCGAATGCGGGGGGATTATCACGCACCGAACTCGAATAGACATGCTTGAATAAATCGGCCAGATAGAGGATAGACGCAGGCATTTGGAAATAAATGTTTCATTAAACCTCAAAATGAAGGATCGGGCCCATCTTATTATTATTACTGAAGGTCGCAATGCACAGAGTTCTGGTTTCCCCTGCTACTCTATATAGTTATCTGCCGAATCGAAGTTTAGCCATATGTGCTGGCGCTCAGGGTATCAATTGAGGCGATCCATTAAAGAACTATCTATCAGACCGCTGTTGAGAGGGACTATATACCTGAACGGCTAGTATGGGGATCTTACAACTTGGGTATTCCGTATAGACCCGGTTTACCATACGAAACATATGGGGAACTCGGTGGCGGCTGAATCATCCAGTCACTAGTGGTAAAAAACACCTCTTCAATATCGACATTGTCAGTTACCCCACATACATATGTTGCCAGAAGAACTAACCAATAATGTGGGTTCAGGCTGCGATTCGCTCGTTCTGCGCAAGTCATCAATAGACATAGAGCCATTATAATGACTCTGCGTTCTGTTTGCTCTAAATTTGCCAGATAGTTTCCTTCTCTATATATTCACGTATATATGTAGTAAAGACGCTTTCACATCGCTCGCAACATGTCTGAGAATACCAAAATGGCATACAACTCTTTCTATGCACACAAAAAATGTCTGCTGATCTGCGGTATTGTGGCGATCGCCAACATGCAGTACGGGTTCGACAGTTCCGGTGTGGGCGGTCTGCAGGCTATGCCTGGGTTTTTGATGGTATTTGGCTACAAAAGTCCTGGCAACGAATTGGGCTATGGGATTAATGTGAGTTTCCTTGCAGCTCCTGTTTTTTCATACCAATGCCATTTTTGGAAGCAATAGGTCTAACATACACATTACGATTGTTTAGAGTACAGTCCAGCAGCTGATCACTTCGTTACTTACGCTTGGCTCCTTTTTATCATCACTGTTAGCGGGCTTATTTTCCCAATTTCTTGGCCGGCGCCCAGCACTTTGGATGGCTTGCGTCCTGAACGCCGCTGCTTGTGCCATTCAAATAACCAGTACCTCAAGCAATATCCTCTATATCGGACGACTTCTACTGGGTTTTGCGAATGGCTTTTTCGTGACATTCTCGAACATATACACCGCCGAAGTCGCACCAGCACATCTGCGCGGCGTAACCGTCGCGCTTTTCGCCTACTGGGTCAATGTCGGTGCCATTATTGGGACGGTTGTGGATTACTACACCAAGGATCAGATGAATAAATTATGCTACCAAATTCCACTATCATGTCTATTCGTCGTCCCGACATGCCTGTTTATAGCGCTGTTCTTTGTCCCCGAAAGTCCTCGGTGGCTTCTGCACAAGGGAAAGGAGCTCCAAGCTCGACGGGCTTTGGAACAATTAAGGGGGGTTGCTATTGACCCGACGGAGCTGGAGACTGAGTGGACCGAGATGATTCGGGGAGTGAATGAGGAGAAACGGACTGCGAAGAGTGTGGGATTCCTAGACATGTTTCGAGGTCTGTCTCTCATCAGACTGGAAAGCGAAAGATATGGCCTTGCTGATATTTGACTGTCTTCTAGGAGCTGACCTCCGTCGTACCATGCTTTGCTATTGCATGATATCCTGCCAGGCCGCATCGGGTATCTGGTTTCTGATCGGATACAACACGTACTTCTATTCCATCACTGGGGTTACCAAGCCGTTCCAATATTCAATCATGAATACGTGCCTGGGCTTTCTCGGAGTCAACGTCGGCATGTTTTCCATTAGATACCTAGTCGGTCGCCGTTCAATCCTTCTGGTCGGTGCTTTGGGTTGTGGGCTCAGTCAGCTCGCTGCCGCCATTTCTGCAAGTATCATGTCATCGTCCCCAAATACCCTCGTGGCATTCATGGCCATATTTATGGTGTTCTATAACGGATGTATCGCAACAGCCAGCTACATTGTTGCAACGGAGGTGGTGAGTTCGCGGTTGAGGGCGTGGACTGTCGGTTCAGCCACCTCTGTGGGCTCGCTACTCGCCTGGTTGACGAACTTCTGCACCCCGTATTTTATCAACCCTGACAATTTGAACTGGGTATGTCGAGCCCGTCCGTTGCAATTTTAATTCCATGAATCTATACCCTATAAATTCTTTCTGCTGACTTAGCTCTCTCCTAGGGTGCGAGATACGGATACATCTGGGCTGGTTCGAACTTCGTCGTCTTACTCTTTATCTTGTTTTTCATGCCGGAGATGAAGGGTCGTACTTTGGAGGAGCTCAATGAAATGTTCGCTGCCAGAGTTCCCACCCGGAAATTTCGTCAGTATCAATGCGCCATGCACGAAGAGATTGTCCGCGATGTGAACGCGCAGAAGGGCGGGGGAGAGGTGTTTGAGATTGAAGACGTTCGATCTAGCAAGTGATCCTCGGTTAATGGACCACGAGAGGGAGAGACTCGCCAATGCATTGCCCACGGAGAAAACATTTGTAGTTGCTCGAGACAACACTACAGCTGTCGAATGATATATCACGATCAATTATGTCACAGTTCCGTGCACAATAGAGACAAATCCGAGAAAGTAACATCATATTAGGCACACTCAAATAACATTGTGCGGGTGTCAGTACCTACGGGTTAAGGCAAGTATGAGCAGGTTTTGCGACCTGGAACCCGCTCTCTTGCAGTGGTCACTTCTTCACCCTGGATAAAATAAGGAAACAGCGGTAGGGCATGATTTAGTGTCAGAACTGACTCCTGTGATGCCGCTACATCGTGCCGAGCAAAGGCCCAGTTTGTCAGATGAGCCTCAGTTACAGGCCCTGGTGTGGCGTTGCCGTAACAACAATACGCGACATGCAAACTCGATGCTTCAGAATCAAAGTCCTTTTAGGAATACTAAACAAGGCCGGTGAGATTTCCGCCACTGGACCCTCAATTCATGAAAAATCTCCATCTCGCGATGATTTCAGCATCGTAGGACAACCTTTGACCACGGCTTAGCCTAAGCTGCTGAATCCCTTGATCTCCACTTCTCTGTGCGCCATCCCGAGGAACATTTCGGTCTGGCCGTCGTCGAAGGCTATACAAAGTAGGGACGTTGGCAACAAAAGCTGCGCAAAATCCTTCAACCGCTCCCCAAGTATGGCGCTGGTGTTGCGACACGTCCCGATCACTAATCGGGAGGCGCAACATGGCAATGATGATGAGAAGGATTCCGATGGAAAAGAGTCCAATCAGTTCAAGTCGCCTATCAGTGTCAGAACTAAAGCGAGCAACATGCTAAACAAACTTACCGTACAATAGGTAGCCTGAGCCTGGCTAGCCAGGGCAACGGGATAATAATCAACATCACATCCGTGACCATGTTGAGAGCCACAAACACAAGTAGCTCAACGCGTGCCAGGGTGCATTCGCCTACACATTTGCGTTAGTGCCCACCAGCGACATTGCAAGGGCCACGGTTTACCTGGGTCTGGCTGTACCTGCCAGTAAAGGTGCAGGGGCCTGCATTCAGTGAAGCATGTCACCAGCACTGCCACATAAGTACCAAACAGCACAATCCAACAGGCGTTAATTATCAATTCCGGCCTAGGTAGACCAAATAGCATCTGCTTGTATAAGAGAAGAATGACACTTTTCTGTATCCATAAACTAGATCTCACGTTAGTATCCAGGTCGCCTGGCATGTAAACAGAGGGTATTACTAAGTGAAGTATATTGTTCTGCAGACGAGCGTCATCTTGCTCCCAACCTCACGTCGATAGATATCCATCTTGGTTAAGGTATGAGTTTCTCTATCCACGTTTTCCATGTTATTATTACCCCACAGGAGTACAAGAATGATCAACGGTGAGAGGATAATGATACACATTATAGCAAATGATGTGAGGTAGTCACTGAGCTTAAATGTCTGCCTTCGTATCTTTCGCATGGCAAGGCGAAAGCTCATTAGAATAATTGCGAGCGAATTGAAGACTCCGACATTGATAATGGTCGACTTCGTGCTATAACTCATCGATCGAAGCTTGTTTTGCCCAAGCGATATGAGTTGAGTCCAATTATAGGAGAATGGAAAGGAAATTTTTCTCGAATTTTAAGACTCATAGGCAGATCTAGTCAATACTAAATGAAAGCCCACTATACACAATAGTACGTGAATATTCGTTTTACCTTTTCCTTTTTCCTATTCGATCAGAGGTGGCACTATGTTCAAGGACCATTTGCCACCAGTGTTGACACCTACATTAGGTAATGACGGAGTCGGTTATGGGTAATACCTGCTACCCGTGGTTGAGTTGACCGTGCCCTCAACCGTTCCTTTAAAGCTGCATCTAGGACTATCCACGCGCCTTCAAAGTGAAAATTCCCTAATGCAAATTCAGCCTTTCAACCACTCTGTATATACATACCCTAGCATAAGTTTCCCTACACTTCCCATGTTCCGACCTTAAATCCGTAAATATTACCGATTTTAAATATATTTTCTTACCACAAAGTCATACTTTTGTTATAAATATTACATTGAAAACGTGTAAGTAAATGGTCAAAGTATCATATGTATCTATCTTAAGATCTAAAAATGATTGCTGATTGAAAGAGAGAGGTCGGAAGTGGTGGTCCGATATAATTTCCGCATTTTGAGGCAAATCCCCATACTAGATAACTCAAAAGTGGAACGAATCGCGACGTTCAATTTTTGAAGCCGCGTAGTTTGATATAGAAAATTCATAAAAAGATTTAACGTATAAGACCCTGGGCCGTTATAGTTATTATAAAGAAAATGAATTTTGAAAAATATGGTTCTATATGAAGGGCAATGTTAAAAGGACCCGTCTTGTTGATATTGGGACCCCCTCTCTACCTGTCTAAGCCTAACTAGAGAAGGCTTAGTATGTGTATTTCATAGTGTATTTCCTTAGTAAAAATGAACAAAAGGGCGTAGAGGAAGACAATAGGCCTCGTAGGGTGTGTGAAGACTTATACCTAGGTTAATATACGTATACTAACTAGGCCAAGAAGATCACTATGTTAGCCTAACGGCTAATATACCTAGGACCGATATATATACTACTAGACTTCTCCAGGACCCAAAACCCAACCCATGTGGGTTTTGGCCATAACAACTCGAAGCTCTCGGCCAATGAAGTGATTTTACTTTTCTGCTACTGTTCACTCGTATATCCAAATTTTCAATTCTATGTACTCTAAACTACTATTGAGAGCAACAATCTGGGCACATTTCCATGTTCTAGCCAGTCCAAACCAAGTCAAAACGCCAAAATCAATCAAGCCAAAAAGAAAGAACAAAAAACAGAAAAAAACATATCAATAACTCTCCAATATGACAATCTATTTCAGATATCCCATGGCCTTCCAAGATGCCACATAGGCCCGCGCGATGTCGGCATTCACGGGCCCTTCAGCAGCCATGGTGGCCGAGTGCTCTTTCGCTTTCTGGGTGTCGAGGATGATGCCACCGCAGGACATGCGCTCAAAATGGCCGTCGAGGAAGTCAACTAGACGGGCAGCTGGGTTCTCGTCGGCGGACAGTGGCGAGCGGCGCACGCGCATAATCCAGTCAGCGTAGGGGATGATGTTTTGAGGAGGGATGTCCAGGGCCGACGCCAGCACCGGTGACATGTCCTCCCACGGCTGACCGACCGGGTTGTCAATATGGTAAACGGGGTAAGCTGCATCACTGTCATTTTCCAGTTTCAGCAAATCCACCATGACACTAGCGCTACGGTCGACAGGCAGCCACTGCAGGGTACCATGCAGATCGGGCCACACGCACAAAGCTTGCGCACTCTTAACCAAGAAGGCAAAGTGCTCGACTGGGTTCCAGAAGCCGCTGCGACTGGAGCCGGCGATCTGGCCTGGGCGCGTGACGGTCGCGCGGAATAGGTGCGGGTAGCGGTGCAGTGTCTCGTCGAGCATGCGCTCGTGCACCCACTTGCCCTCGGGGTAGCCGCCGGGCATAACGGCAGCCATCGGAACACGGTCTTCCTTGATTCGCGGTCCGGCGGACGTATCCGCGTAACCGACCACCCCGATCGAGGACACAAACTGGAAGCCGACGCGCGTCTTTGGCTTTCCTAGAGCTATCTCCCGCGCTAGGTCAAGCAAGTTGCGCATGGTCTGCAGCTGTGGTTCGAAGCCCTTGAGGGGCCTTGTGCCGCTCATGGGCCAGGCGTTGTGCACAATGTGGGTGGCATGCGAGACCAGCCAGGCGTATTCTTGAGTCGGCAGGCCGAGCTGCGGCTTGGAAGTGTCGGTCTCGTAGACGCGCAGCTTTTCCTGCTCGGTGGGTGACAGAGCAATGCCTCTTGACCAAAAGGCCTCGGCTTGGCGCTGATGGACTGGGACGCTGGAATGGCGGTTCACGCAGACCACAGTGGCGACATCGGGGCGCTTGGCGAGGGTCTGCACAAGGTGGGCACCCAGGCTGCCGGTGGCGCCGGTGACGATGACCACAGCAGGAGTTGAAGTAGTAGAGACGTCGATGACTGCGGAATCGAGAGCCGGCGTGGCCCAGCCGGCCGTGTAGGAGTCCACGAGTTGTTCAGCATCGGCCTCGCGGGCGGCTACGTCGCCTCTATCAATCACCTTGGTTTCCTCCACAGACGCCACAGATGCCGGGAGACGAGCTTTCCGCTCTCCAGAGGCCAGGGCAAGAATAACCTTCTGGAAGGCGTTTTCGGGTCGGTTGCCGTCGGTCCAGTCGACATGGCCAAAGCCGGCGGCGTGCAGAGCGCGCTCCCAGTCTTCAGTGGGCACGACAGCGTGGGTGCGGCCGTCGTCAAAGAGCCACCAGCCTTCGAGCAGGCCGAACACAATATCCATAGACGGCACGCACTCAGTCATCTCGAGAATCATAAGGAAGCCGTCAGGGCGGAGGGCCAGGTGTACGTTTTGGGTCGACACAACCAAGTCGTGGGTGGCGTGGATGGCGTTGCTGGCCAGAACAAGATGCTGCCCCAGGAGCTCCGCAGCCGGTGGCTTCTCGATATCATGCACAGCAAAGCGCATAAACGGGTACTGCTTGGCGAACTTGCGGCGCGCGTTGGCTACCATGGATGGCGACAGGTCAGTGAAGGTATACTCAACAGGGATGCCCAGGGACGCCAGCACCGGAGCCATCACATTCGTCGTACCCCCAGTACCGCCACCCATTTCAAGAACTTTCAGGGTCTCGCCGGGCTGAGTCACACGCCTGGATAATTGAGTGATAACCTCCGCCATCTGTTGGTAGTGCATGCGGTTGAAGCCATAGTCGCAGTACATGGCCTGGACAAGCTGGCGGCCTTCGGCGCTGCCGAAGATAACGCGGATACCGTCTGTGGTGCCACTGAGCACACCGGCCAGGTTCTTGCCGGCGTAGTAGGCCAGGCGGTCGGGGATGGCGGACTCCGGGTGCGCAGC